AAGTTGAATAAGGATTTTTATGGTTGAGGAAAATTGCTGATATTGAACATTGTGAGTTGGACTTCTTAATGATACTACATCATGTCCGCTCTAAAAGGTAAGAGTTTGTTTCCAAGCTGTTACAAGTGGGTAAAAAAGACATGAGGGAGGGGAAATGGGGAGAATTAAATTTTTTATACCTCATTACAGTGTATAAATACATATATTCTACACAAGACGTTATCTGATTGGTTCTAGGTTATATCACCATCTTCGCTAGCCAAGGGTTTCCAATCCAATACCTACTCTTGTAGAGTAGGTATCAGATCGGAAACCCTTGGCTAGCGAAGATGGGTTATCACATGATTGGGCCGTAAAACTTCATATTTCACAGCCATCGGCATGCTTTTCATAATATTCCACCTCTTCAGATACATAGTGCATTTTCCCGCAATAATTATTGTTCGTTTAAAGAAAACTCCCGAGAGTAGTAGACGTCACAATAGCCTTGTTTACGTCACAAAATTGATAATATTGTGATGACCAAAAGGTTTTGGTAACTTTACATTCAAAATGAAAGTAAATTTGAATTTTGAAAGTGTATGTTTTTTTCAAGGGTTTTTCTTGTTTCGGTATAATAAACAATTCATTGCATGAATGTTTAAAGTTTATGTTTATTTACAAAGGTTTTGCTTGTTTTGAAAGTATTATAATAAACCCTTGGCCTAATTCGGGATTTTTTTTCAGAATATTGGATTTCAGTACACACCTGTCGAAACATCAATTGTTTTTTGTAAATGACGATGTTTGCCTATTTCTTGACTCTTTACAATCGCAAGTAAACAACGATAAATTACATGCAATTCTATACTATGGTGTCATCCAATATCTTGTTGAATTTTATTGGCTTCTTTGTACTATAAGTGTTTATAATTCTAATTTATTCTTGTCTTTAATTTTTTTTAAACATGTGTCTTTATTTCTTCGATGGCTTACTTGGATTCAATAATGTCTTTTGACTTCACCGTAAAGTTATTAACTGAATTGTTAAAGTTGAATTGTTAATTTAAGAGAGAAAATGATGAAAGTGGTGCTTTTGCAAATTGTGGATTTCCCTGGATGACTTAACTGATAATTACCAATAAAATTATTAAGTTTTTCAATGTGTTTTAAAGAATTATGCTAACACATTTATCTTTTTCCCAAGTCAAAACATTTTTAATATTATATACCTATCCGTTCAAGATCAGATGCCAGCAAGTTAATATGGCATTTACAAGTTACAGATAAACTAAAAAATAACATCAATGCACTTTTGCACATAAATGATCTTATGAATGTACAGTCAATGCACCTTCGATGGATAAAGCAATTAATATTCAGATATTTTTTATATATGGAGTTGAAAAAAATTTGGATTATATACTCAGATTATCACCGATTTATTAGTTAGAACTGTCAAGTGGTGAAATCAATTGCAGACAGATTAACAGTGATTAAGATATTTATCAGGCAATGAAAATCTGCCAATGATGTAGAAATTACATAAGTGTATTGAAAATTATTTAACATAATTATCATTTCATGTTAATTAAGCTGTCCAGCTTACCTTGAAGAAATGGCTTAAAATTTGATGTCTGCATTAGGACTCCCAGTTAAAATGTGACAGACTGATTTCAAATTCTTGTATTTGAATTAAGCCATTGACTTTCACTTGAGCCTCAATATTCACGGGTGATTAACTTCATTATTTATGTTTAATTAGGCTGATTAAATGGAAGAGTTCAATTTCACACAAAGTTGCCAAAAGTTTGGATTTTTTCATATTTCATTTTGAATAACAAGCTAGATATTTACAATGTATAAGTAAGGGATTTTCGTTAATTGCACTTCGGAATTAAAACTCCTTAAAAAAATCTACTTGGAACTCATGATGTGTTTTTAGAACCATATAAGCTTGGACTTTTTATGAAGTGCCTTTCATTCAGCATTTTCCCTGAGTGTACAAATGGACTCAAAGTACAAATTAACTTTATGAGTGTTTAATTGTGATTTTTCACACCATTTGTCCACTGTATGTTGGCCATTGTTTGGCCCAGACTGCTTTTTAAACAATCATCAAAAGTGACCAAATACCGACTCTTTGAAGTGTGGCACTGAATTTTAAAACTTTTTGAAAAGTTCTTACGCAGAGGAAATGTGTTTGTTTCGAATTCTTAGACCTGTGTTTGTTGTCGGAGAGTAGAAGGGTTCAAGGTAGGAATTTTTGTTTTGGGTCCGGTTGTTATGGAAGTGGTTGGCTCTGAAAATTGAAAAAAAAAATTTTGAATTTTAATGAAATTTTCTCTTCAAATGCAAATTTTAAAAAATATTGTAGCAGTGAATTTAATTCAACACTTTCAAAAATACATTCAGTTTTGAAGATAATGATAATAATATCAGTTTTTCAGTTAATGAAAAATTCTAAAAGTTTTCTTGTTCAGGAGGTTATGTTTAGACATATTTAAAGATACTTTGTAAAGATTGAAATCCAAATTTGTCATAATGCTGAAACTTTATCATAGAGGTCCTAAGAAATGTCCAGTTTTGGAAAACTGGTGAGTTTTGAAAATCTAGTGATGGAAATGATGGAAATTCCTCCAATGAAACAGTCAAAAAACTGTTTGGTGGGAAATACCCATGCATGGCAGCAGGTCAGATACTGGGTAGGTACACAGGAAAGGAAACATAATGCTTATAGTGTTTGTTACTGTAGGAACACAAAACAATTGCTTATAACTTATAAGGTTAGTTAAAAAAAGAAAAGGCATATTATTGCTTATTAGGCATGTTACTGAATGTCTACAGAACTATATTGGGATGATTAAACTCAGATAGATGGCATAGTTTATTCTGCCTTGTTCTTCAAATACATGATTTATTCTTGGGAGGATAGTAGTTCCCCCTGTCTTATAAGATCTCCAATTACAATATTTTTAAGAAATACTGTAAACCAATTTTTATTTGCGGCAATTTTATTTCGCGATTTTATGGGGTTAAACTAGTTCATGACGATTTAATTTTGCGATCAAGCTTTTTTTTATCTGTTGTTGATAGACACAGAGACTTTCCTAGTTCGCGGCGAGAAATGACGAGGCTCTCGCGAACTTTGCGAAAATTTCTCGGAAAAAAGCTGGTTTACAGTACCCTGTGGCTACTGAGAATCATTAGAAACCTCACAAGTTACCTCCCTTTCAGATATTGAGTTCTCTATCAGTTATCTTTCTTTGAGACATTGATAATTTTCAAAGTATTTTAGTTATCACCCTCTCAAACCAATGCTTGTGAGAAAATATTTTTTTTAGGTATTGAGATGCCATGGAGTTGTCTCCCTTCCAAACAATTTGATATCTTGAGATAATTATGTTATCTCCATTAAGATATTGAGATCCTTAAAGCTTATAAATAAGTTATTCCCCATTCAGACTTTGATATACCCCTGTTTAGACTTTGACATCCTCATATAATCCCAATTGTATGCAAAAGTTGAGTCTGCAAGTTATCTTCTGAATCAGTGTTTAGAAATTGATACATAAGATAATAGGATGCATTTGAGTTGTCTCCCTTTCAAATGTGGACACTTTGTACACCTCACAGGATTATTCCGCATTTTTTCCTCATTTTAATATGGAAAAAATGGGGGCGAGAAAATTAACAATAAAAGCAGAAAATATACGGAAATAATCTGGAAAATAAACGGAAATAATATGGAGAATTGGACTTAGTCTATTTTTCATCTGGACAACTCTTAACTTAGAATATTTTTCATCCGAAAAAATACGGAGCTCTGGACTTAGAATTTTTTCATCAAGAACAAGATGTGTTTGTGAGACACAGTAGCACCTGGCGGCAACATTAAGTTCTAAAAAGCAATTTTTAGCAAATGGGTCTCAGTCAAGGTCACACAATCATTGTTCTTGGTGTCATTTGAAAGCACTTTATTAGTGTAGTATGCATACCAAATATTAAGTCTCTATCATCTATGGTTCAAAAGTTATGTTACTATATTTAGCACATAGTTCACAAACAAGGTCACAAGGTCATATCTTGGTGTCATGATGCCTAATTAGTGGAGTACGCATACCAAATATGAAGTCTCTATCTCTCACCGTTCAGAAGTTATGGCAAAAGTTCCAAAAAGCTATTTTTAGCATAAAGGTCACAGTCATGGTCACAAGGTCATTGACCTTGGTGTCTTGAAAGTGCCTAATTAGTGGAGTATGCATACCAAATATGAAGTCTCTATCTCTCACGGTTCATAAGTTATGGCGAAAGTTCGATATTTTTAGCATAAAGGTCACAATCAAGGTCATAAGGTCATTGACCTTGGTGTCAGTTGAAAGTGTTTTTGTAGTGGAGTATCCATACCAAATATGAAGTCTCTAAGTCTCACAGTTCAAAAGTTATGGCGAAGGTTAAAGTTGACAACAGACAAACAAACAGACAGACATACAGCTAAACAGACAGACAGGACAAAAACAATATGCACCCCGAAAAAATTTGGGTGCATAAAAACTGTCTTGGAGTTAACAGCAGTTCTCTGTTTCTGCTGAATGTTATGTACAATTTGATCGGGATTGTTGTCGGGCTCAGTGATCAATTAATTTAAACAACAGACCGCCAAAATTTAACCTTGGCCTCCATGTTGCAACGTCTGCTCTGTCTAAAGGAAGAAGTTTGTTGACCAGACAGCCTGAGATCGTATTGCTGTATCAACCAAAAGATGCAGATACACATATTTCATATGCGGTAGGTCAGTCATATTTTTTTTAACATGTGTGTCACTGTGATGATGAAAATAAATACTCTAGGCCTAGGCTCTACCAGGCTACGTACGTTTCAGCCAATATGCCCATGATTCAAATCTTTCAATCAGCTCATAGAATTTTATTATTGTTAACCACAATTAAAGGTGTTAATTTTGGGGAGCCATGGGGTGTAATCTCTAGCAATGATTTACCATACATTTTTTTTTTGGTAGCGTCTGTGCATGAGAGGACTTATTCAACTTACTGCGATTTTAACGGGCTTAAAGCTTGGTCCATGGATGGTTATGTTTGAGGTATATATATTCTTTTTTTTCTTTTTTTATTGCTTGTTTAATTAAAAACAGTCAACTATGATTGTCATTATTATAAATAATATTTTAAACAAATTGATATTAAATTGAAGAACCCAAACTTGTGTTTATAAAAAGATTTTAAAAGGAATAAAAGCAATGAATTTAAATTTTATTAATATTGCACCATTATCAGTCAGGGGTGTGATTGAAATCCATCATTTCTAAAAATGATGATTTTCAGTCATTAAATTGATTTTTAATAATGATGGAAATTCATCATTTTTTAGTAAAATGATGAAAAACAGTCATTTCTATTTTGAAATTTATTTTAGAAATAGAGTTATCTCTGATATTAAAAATGACTGTTTTTCATCATTTTTTATCAAATTGTTAGGTCTGGGCGCACTTAATTATCTCATTAGTTTTACGGGGCGCACTAAATTATTTTGGTTTCAATTACTTGTCAAGATGTTTCTCTACACAAGGGTCTATGGCAGGATAGTGTACTATATCTAATTACTGTAGTAAATGGGATGGGAAAATTGACTTGAGAATGGAAATATGATGAAAAGATGTCATATTTACAAAAATCAGAAAATTGTGTACATTATATACTTAGAAGAAATGACCATTATCCATCATTTTCAAAAATGACTGATTTCAGTACCACCCCTGACTGATTATAATTTAAGTACTTTTTTTTAATTGATAGGATTTGCCAATTCGACCGCAAGTGCTGCTGCAAGAAATTAAACATGCAGAGACCTTACAAATTACAAAGAAGTCTGAAGAAAATTTTTATTGGACAGATGGGTGTAAAGCACAGACCTGAGATATAAATTGAATTGTGAGAAATATGAATCAGGGATGCAGGTAGAAAATGGCAAATGTGATCCAGATTGATAAAAAATGTCTAAAATTTTTTCTTGTTTTGTAAATATTCAATGCTATGTCAATTGTTATTTTTTCCCCAGTACCTAATAGTGTTGAACATTTCACTCCCACTTTTGCTTAAATAGAATGAATAAATTTCCATTTATTTAATATGAATATTAAAAAATGCCACATTTTTTCCATGAACTTGTGGCTTAAATAAGAGTTCCAGTTTTTTTTCCATACATGCTCCTATTTGTTTGTCAAAGATATAAGATCCAATACATTGCTCATGAACATAATGTGTAATTTTGTTCATTCATTTATATGTTTTTTTCTCATAATGATATAATAAATTGTATATAATTTTGCACATTGTTGATGGTTTTGTAAATATTTATGTATGTATGCATCATGTAGCGGTTTTATTAGCCATTTATTTTATAACCATGTGATTAACTCCGTATTTTCTCCAGATTTCCGTATTTCCGCATTTTATCAACCAAGTAAATACCTCCATACTTTGTATATATGGAAATGCGGAAATCCCCCCTACTCCCATCCACATTTTCTCCATATTTTGAATACGGAGAAAATCTGGAAATTTGAATCTACGAAAATCTGGAATGAATGCGGAAAATTAGTCCAAATACTCCCGTCCGCATTTTTTCCTTATTTTGAATAAGGAAAAAATGTGAGTCTGCGGGTTGTAAGTTATCTCCCTTCAGCTTTTGAATTCCTCAGTTAAAACAATCCCCCCTTTCAAATTTTTTTTTTCAGATGCTCATGCATGTTACCTCAATTTTATACCAAAAACTGGCAAGTTATCCCTATGAATAATGCAGACTAAAAAGGGAAAGTTTTACCCTGACGTTCTGTATTAATCAAAATATGGCAGAGAAAATCTGCTTAATTTGTTAGAGTATCCCGGGGAAGAGTAAATATATAGTGTTACATGAGATAGGTAAATACACACATAATTATGTGCAAACAATGTGATTGGCATCATCTGAACTTTAAAGGCAGGGTGATCCATGTATGCATGGGGGTGTGTTCCCGTTTTGCACACATTTGGTAATTAGTATAGAACAACCGGTGTGAAGTGTGTTTTGATAGCAATTATAGTCTGATTTCTGTTTTGGATTTACCTGGATTTACCTGTGAATACCTGATTTAGCTTAACGTATTCTTAAGAGGTTTAATACAATTTTATAAGCATTTTATTGAAATTATATATATATTTATGGGAAAATATTTGGTTTTATTGAATAAATAATTAATATTTGTTTCATATTATTTATTATTAAGTCCAATTTCTTAAAAAAAAGAATATGTACTTTTAAATCTTGATATAATTCTAAATGAATTAAAGATATAACATATAATAAAGAAAATAGTAATAAAAATTAATTTGAAAAGATGTCATAATAAGATCATCAGATAATCAAATACATTAACTTTGTATTTGTTCTCTTATTTTTTCACTATAAGTTCATCTTTCACATACTTGCTAAGCCAAGTATAGTATAGACTATAGCAATTAAGTAATTATCTCACCTGGTCAAATTCCCGTTTTTCACACATTTTTTAATTATCTGTAATTAAATGTGTGCAAAACGGGAACAAACCTGCATGGGGTACCAGAGGGGGAAATTTATAAATTAATTTATAAGTTACACATTATGAGGTTGCTTACAAATTTTATTTTTAATTGTCTCATAATTTGATTATTTATTTTTAAAAAAGCAAAAGATAAGAATTCATATCAGGTCTTTTTTCTTTATTTTCTAAGTAACAAAAAATTATCTATTGGTATTAATAATTACTGATATTTTATTGATGTCCACTAATTCCCCTCCTCAAATAAAATTATCATCTGTATGTGGAAAAACTGAACCCACTGGAACCTCTTTTTAATAGATTTTGCAAACTTAAAGGGTATGAGAGAAAAGGAAATGATATATTGAAACACCCATTCCCTTCAATTTCTTTGGTAAACAGAGATTTCCAAATCTTTTGGTCAGTCATCCATTGTGTGCCATTGTCTCTCTGTATGCTTAATAATGTATGAGGTTTATTAAGAAAATTGTGGGAAACTGACAATTCGGTCATGGAATTTGACAATATTGCGGGCAGATTGTTCAGCACGTTGTTTACGTAGGGAGGAATTTTCCTGGACGATGGGGCTTGATTCGGATTTTGGATTGAGTTGAAGGATTTAAAATTTCAATTAAGGAGAGATTTGAAAAAATTTTCCAAACTTTAATTTTGTTTTGGTGGAAATCTGTGTAACTGAAAAAGGACCAGCATCATCTCTTCTTAATAAAAAAGCAACATTTGAATAATTGTAAATCGATTTTGACAATATTTTCCTGAAAAAAGGTGATCTTGAAAGTTTTCATGTGTTTTGAAAATTTTTCAAAATTTCATGTTATGATTGAGATTAAGGTTTAGATCGTTGGATAAATTTGGATATAAATTCTGTGAAGAGGTTTTTGGAAGATCTAGATTTTTAGTGCTGAAGAAAAAAGAATAAAAGATTGATTTCAATGAGAACCACTAAATTCATCAAGGAGACCTTACCCTAGGAATTATGGGACTCTTATTGGATTTAGAATAAACATTTTTACTTCAAATCTCCCCCATAAGAAGATAATATATCTTTTAAAAGTGACAAAACATTTTCGTTTAAAGAATACCAGGTGTGAAAATGACAAATTGCTGTCTGGAAAAGAGGGGAGATTAAATGGACTCCATGAAATATGCACAATTAATTTTCTCTTTTATTTGAAGAATTTTTTCAATACCGAGGAAAAATTACGAAGATTTGGTACGGTTTCCCAGCATTTTGAGTGAAGTTGGTTTTTGCATCTTAGTCAGACCTAACCCAAGGTTATGAGAACCCTGTTTACCCAAACCCAGAATTATCATTTTTTTACCCTAACAACTAGCATAACCGGTTCCCATCTTGGTATCCTAGAAATTCTGTCGTAAAAAATTAGACATTTTTCTCTCTGATTTTGTCAATATTTGAAGATTTGGGGAGTGAACGTTTTATATGTTTCAAACTCTTTGAGAATTTAACTGGTCATGGGTTTAATATAAGAAACTTGAGATGTACATCAGGTGTTAAAACAGAAAGAAACTGTATTTAGAGTGTTTGATTTGCTGGAAATTAAGATGTTTTGCATATTGACACAGTTCCGTATCAAGATGTTTTATTCAGATATGTGGGAGAATTTGTAAATGATACTAGTAATGATCGAAACACATGCAAATGAAAACGGATACCAGCTCGTATATCACTAATTCATCTATGGAAAGTCATTAATGCTGGGTGTTAATTGCCTAAATTAAGTGAATTTCTAGTTTTTCATGTGATTCTGGATTAAAGGAACCACCAATCATAGAGTCATGAAAAAGGAAGAAAATTGCTAATCGATAAAATTTGACGACCGAAAAATCTCATAAAGTTGCATTTGCTCTACTGTACAGTGAAAAAAAAACGATTTTTATGTGCATGGATGGTAATTAAGAAGTAAAAAAAAAACAATGAGTTCGGATCGCAATAACAGACGCATGTCAATGCAGGTGGTTTCACACACCACTCCCGTTCAGAAGGACCGGCCAAAGCACAATTCGGCACCACCCAGTGCTATGAGGCGAGTGAACACATCCACTGTGCTGGGAGGGGATCGTAAAAGTTCGCTGTCTAGTTCGGCGGCTAGCAGTGCTAACGAAAACCGGAGGAGAAGTGCAAGTAGGTGTGCTGGTGTTTTATTTTTAAAAAAAAGATTCATTTATAAGTTTTTCACCATCATGATGAATTTTTAGCAGTGCTAATGAGCACCACAGGAGAAGTGCAAGTAGGTGTACTATATTGTAGTCAAAAAGAAATGATTTGTTTATGTTTAAGTTTTTTAAAAGATGAAATGATTTCTTTCTATTCAAATTTTTTTCAATGAATTTTTTGGAATTTATCTGAATATGACAAAATGTTCTTGCCAATGGGGTTTTACTTCATAATTTATTGAATTGATTGGATTACATTTAGCGATAAAATCAATTTAAAGACAATTAAACTTTTTATTATAATACCCAGTAAATGATGGACTTATTTAAACTAGTATCAACTAGAACAATCAATAATTAACACATTTTTTAGTGATCTAGCTACATTTATAATTAAAGAGTGACATGTTTGGTTACTGTAGATCACTAAATTTTCGCGACACCTTATTTTCACAAGATAGACATTGACTTTTGATTAGCGAGACAAAATTTTCACGAATTGTGGTTATTGCTCTATTTAATCTTAAGGAATACTATTATACGCGAGAATTTAATTTTCGCAAGCACACTGTCTCACGTAATTACGCGAAAATAAAGTTCTCGCGAATATAAAGTGATTTTCAGTAATTGTTTGTCTCGTATTTCCAAGCAGTGGGACCTGCATGATCTTTCATTATACACCCCGCTTGAAAAGTGGGAGGGTATACTGTAATCGGTGTGTCCGTCTGCTGTCTGTTATGCTTTGGGGTACCCATCTCTTATCTGCAACTCCTCTTATACCACTGAGTGAAATTTAATGAAACTTTCACAGAATCTTTATTACATATTGCCATTGTGCACCTCCTATTTTACTTTTTGATCCAACACATATTTTGGGTTTCCAGGCCACAGCAAAACATAGACTTTTTCATTATAAGGATATGGGAGGCGGGGGGTATCATTTAGTGAGCTCATTGCTCACTGTTTAGATTTGAGAGTTTAAGGGCAATAACTCATTTCTCTTTCCCCAAGTCTTTTTCTCTTTCATCAAGACAGTTGGAATTTTTCCTGAAATTTTAAAATAAGTTTTTTAAAAGTTGAACCTTGTATGGTTTATAACCAAGCCTACAGTGGTTTGTTTACAAGGTTGTTACCCCCCTCCCTCCCTCTTTCTCTCTCTCAGACTTATCCTTTGGCATTTTAGTTGACATGTATGCATGAAAATGGAAACACCTTTTCAACTTTAGTACTAAGAAGCAGGAATTACCTATATAGTGAATATTTTTGCCATATCTTTCTTTTCAATTCAATGCCAAAGGAAAGAATTCAAGTACCAATAAAGTAGTTGCCAAGCATGCATGGCCAATAACTCAACATAAATTTATGTATTTAAACAGGCATATTCAAATAAGTGTACACAATTTATTTTTTCTTCCAACTGCCATTAAGGGTTTTGTGAAAGTATTCTGAGGGCATATTTGAATTTTTGATAAGTTGGTCCCGTTTATAATGTTTGCAATTTTATTTGTGGATTTACTTTGTTCTTGGTTACTGTGATGTGAAAGTATTACGAGCATTTTAAATATCGTATTACCAAGATACGACAAATTCGCATGGACAGATCTCTTATGATTATGATAATTTGAATGCCACAAAAAGCGTTTGTGAAGATTTAAATTAAACACTAAAATTTTAAAATATTTTCTTTTCTGTTTGTTCATAGGCTATGAGGTGGTAATTTCCTTTTTCAATAAGTTCAATGTCTGGCTGAAATTTGTCGAAATCAGTCAGTTTTATTAATTTTTATTTTTCTTTAAATCTATTGGGGATAAGTGTTAATAATTACAGGTCTTATATGTGACGCTCAAAAGCTATAAATCAAATTTTTTTTATTCGTTTTCTTCGAACAATTGTCAAACAGAATGAATATTCTAACCAGTTCAATTTCCTTCTGAGGGTTTTAAATTTGTGATTTACATGCATTGTAGAAACTAATATCTGTTTTTGCATTTTTTACGACTTGGAATATTAACTCGAGACGATATTGATTTGTAAGGAAGTTCAGGATTTTATTTTTTGTTTTCCGTCGCCATGGTGGCAAAATGGGGAGCATTCATTGAAGTGTTAAACATGGAAGTTATCAGTTGCAATTAACCATATAGGGAAAAAAATTCGCCCTCAAAACAATTGTTTGATGAGATATGTGATATTAATTTGAACAAAAAAACTATTGTGCGTTTTCAAAAAGCTGGATAAACAAAATATATTTCATTGCATATTTATACTCCCCATGATCATTTTCATGGTTGACATTTGCATGAGAATTCAAGTGACAGTTTGCAGAAGAATGCAGATGAAAATGTGCAGCTGCAATTTCAATTTATCACCGATAAATAATTAACACACTGAAGGCATACAAAAGAACTACGCGTTTGATAATTCCATTGTGAATTGTTCGTCTATTTTACTGATGGATTTTTAACAGTGCAACCTGATGCAAGGATTTTTTTTTTTTTTTGGTTTTTAGGAGAACTTGGTGCTTGTATTTGCAGGATCACAGCCATAAGATTGGCTGAGTGCGATTAATTTTTCTCTTTTTTATTCTGAAAGAAAAATCCATTTAAAGCATAAATACAAGTTTTTATGGCCTTTCAATGCCACGTAAACTACTCTAGCACGACAGTTAAAAAACTCTTAAGTGCGAAATAAATTAAAGGATACACAATTCTGTTTTGAGAAGAGTGCATTAGGAGATATCGTCTTTCTACGTTTTTTAATAAAATTGTCATTTTATGGGCGAGATTTTTCACACCCGGAAAATCACATGAAAAGATTGTCTGGATATTTTGGAATTTTTTTCACTAGTCTGGAATTCTGTTTGATAATTCCATGGAATCTGGATTTTGTGTTTTGAGTTTTTCATAGCCTGAAAAAGACATGGAATTATAATTTATGAATTAAACTAAAAGTACTAGATCTGTAGAGGAAAATTATTTTAAAAAATTTGATACTGACTTGAGTGAAAATCTAAGAAATTGGAAACAATTTCGAAAGTCATGGTGAAAGAGGACCATAAATTGGAACGGCGCATGAGTCGAGATCAAGGCGCGCATAAAGTGGAACATGGCGCTCACAAACTTGATCATGGTGCTCACAAACTCGATCATGGTGCTCACAAGCCTGAGCACGGTGCTCATAAACTTGAGCATGGGGCTCACAAGCAGGGGCATGCTCATGGCAGACGAATGTCTGTCATAGGAAAAGATGGCCATGGGCGTAAGTGATAGAATTAAATTTTCACATTTTACGGAGGTCTAGTGTTGTTATTGGTCATTTCTTTGAAGGATTGTGGGTAAAAATATTTTCTTGTGGGCAGATTAATCTTGTATTCATTTCTCTATTGTTTATATATTTCAAGTGTTTCATTATACATTTCATGCATAACAGCTAGTCAAATGGATAGATAAATGCTGTGGAATTAAATATTTCATTCTTTTATTTAAGCTATTGTTGATATTATTAATAGATCAATTGGCTGTCAAGCAGGTAATACAAGGTGGTCCAACACATGTATTACACAGTGTTGGTGATATAATGTTTCAAAATATTCAACATAAAACATAAAACTGAAGACAGCTGGAAATTTGTTTTAAAAAAAGCACACAATAAAAAAAAACATTCATTTGATATCAAGCAACTGTATTTAAAGTGAATTGCATATTCTGCATGCTGTCATGTAAAATCAATATTATTTGTCAGAAAAATATTATATAATATTAATTTTTTTGTAAATTGGTAATAGTGAATTAAACATTTCAATATGATTCAAATGTAAAGACAATCTAACATACATTTGTCTTTTAATATTTTTTAATCTACTATGTATGAATATAAGTTTAAACTAATTTTGGTATTGCATTTAGGAATACTATATTCTGACTCTTTCTTCCAGACAGGATGATTATTTAAAGGTAAATATATTAGTATTAAATTTGTAATAATTTTTTTAATTTGGCATATTTTTAGATAAACTCAAAGGGCGGGGTAAAAACCAGGCAGGAACACCAGAGAAAGCTGGTACCCCATCCCAGGAAGGTGTGGACGAGAACCAGTCTCCAACCCGAAATGTTATCTGGAACGAAGAAATCGAAAAACTTCAGATCAAGGAGGACTATCTCAAAACTGTAAGGATTTAACTTAATGTTTTATTTTATTTTTTAATTTTTTTAGTAAAAACAAATTTTCATCCTAAATTTTGTTTACAAATGTATCAGTACACAGGGAAAAGTGGCTTACATGTTATTCATGTGATTATCTTTTTATTTGAAAATTATGTGAAAATCTTATGAAAATTATATATATATATTTTCATGTGAATATCATGTGAATATAAGTTTATATGATATTCACATAAATCATTTTTTGAACTTTCATGTGAAGTTTTCTTTGCATGATATTTATGCGATATGCTCTTCATGTAAAATTCATATGAAATTTATGTCAAAATCACATGAAGTTTTCACATAAATTTCACATGTCTTGTTTTTCATGAAATTTATGTGAGCCACTTTTGCCTGTGTAAAAAGAAAAAAAAATCTTAGAATTATGTTTGTGCTGAAATATTTAAATAAATTCTAGAAAATTAATGATACCCAAAAAATTTTATTTTACAAGAAAACTGTACACTACTTTGAAGACCTCTTGTAAATTGTCTATAGATTTCATGTTCTGCAGATACATATTTTATTTTAAAAGTAAAAAATTATTTTTATTTGAGGAAAGATTGTTCAATGGAAATTGGATGCTTTAATATGAATTGAGAACTACCCCAATTATAAATTTCTGCATTATTCATTTTATTCAGTGTTACATGTATCATATGAAAAACCATAATTATTTTGAAATTCTTGTTTTAGCTCCATGAGGCCCCGGTTCCTCCTACCGACCCAAAAACTCCTAAATCCACCCGGATCACAGTGAGAAAAATGAAGCCAGCCTCAGAATGGGACAAACCCAAACCAAAAATGTTAGTATTAACTGTGATACAAGAAAGATAACTCTTGATGAATTTGAATTTCTATCTAAAAGCACTGATAAAACTCCTTTATATTATTTACTGATTTTTGTATAATAATTAAATTAATTCACAATGTTTTTTTCAATTAAACTTGATATCATATTTGAAAGTTTTTAAGAATTTAAGAAATTGTTTTTTTCAATTGACAATTGATCAAAGAGTTGAGAAAAATAATATTTGTGAGTTACCTCCCTTAACAGAGTAACTGTGGCCAGGCCTGCTCCTGTGGATGCCCCAATAAAGGAACCAGATTACTCAGGTAAAATCTCTCTCTCTCTCTCTCTCTCTCTCTCTATCTCTCTCTCTCTCTCTCTCATCAGGTAGGGTCTCTCTCTTTTACAATATGTTTTATGTATATACAGCTTTTAATATGTATATTGCATACACTGTTTTTTATCATGAACCTGCATTTTATGCATGTGTAGAGTATATTCTCAATCTTGCACAATTTTGTGCTGTAAATTGCACATCATGTTCATTACAGGATCTGTAGCATTATAGTCAAAGACTAAAATTTCAAACCATAACACTACAGTTCTGCAGCTATTATGAAAATTGATATTAAAAGTGTATTACTCCAAAGAGCAATTTTCAAACCAACATGAATTTTTCTGAATAATTGCAGCTTTTCAGCATATTGCAATATATTTTCGTAAAGAATCTTGACTTAGAAAAATTCTATATATTATACCCTCACTTTAAAAGTGGTCCCCGCTTTGAGGAGGTCACCTGAGTCACTCAGGTGACCTATGGGTCCTATGAGGAGTTCAGGAAAGAGGCCATCAAAAGGGGGGATCTTCTGGTAATTAAAATCACCATATGAAATTATAGTTTGTTCAGATTGAATATAGTCAGTGAGTGGAATGTACTTGTTCAACACTGGTTTAACTTGACACTTGCTTTTATATATATCCAGAACGATACAATTGTTGTTAAGATAAAGCTTGGTCATTCTCTTAGAAAAATGCTTTAAATGGTACCTTAAGGTTTCAGGCAGATAGAATGCATAGGAGGAGTTATTCCTCTTTGTAGAGTATTCCAGGTTCAAGCAACTCAGTTCATTTGTAGGAAGTTAAACTCTTTGTCTTCTTTGCCATTTTTCTTCTTTTTAATATTGTGTCTTCCCTTTATCAGGATTTACCAGTTTCACGAGAAGGCGATATACAGCCGGACAAACCGACGTATATAGTATGAAAATGAGATTTCTTTAAAAATTTTCTTCCCTGCTCCAGCCGAACGAGAATAACGCTCTCATTAACTGGCAGATGAAGATGCTGGAGAGAAAGAGACAGCAGGGATATATATCTAGTAAGTTTAGGGGGGGGCATGTGTTTTAATACTACTGTGAAATCACTAATTTTCATGGAGGGTTTAATTTTCATTGTTTTTGAGGTTTTAAGCAGAGACTACCTATATAGTTATGAGCAAGGGACGAAATGTAAAATTGTAAATTTCAAGGCCCCAGGGTCAGTTGTACCATAGAGGGGGGGGGGGGGGGGGGCAAATACATATACTGAAAATGAATGAATTGTTTGAAATGTGCTCCTTGGTATTAATCAAATTTTTTTGAAAAGCAAATTTTTCCAAAAATTGTGCAATGTGTGGATCAAAGCCTAAGAGTCGAGGATTCCTGTGTGGTAGCGGCACTACTGATTATTGCTGAATATTACTGATTTGTTGAAATGCATTTTTTGTTCCCCTACCCTGCCTATGGGTATTAAGTAACCAAACTGAGGAACTGCTAAGTTTATAGTTATGATTACCAAATTGTAAATGCTATAGCATCTGGCTTAAAACAAATTCAATCACTGGAAAGTTGTTGAATAATGCTCAGGTGACCTATAAGGCCCATGGGCCTCTTGTTTTATTAATTACTACTGAGCTGATTTCAAAATTGTAGCTGCTAGGCTACCGGTAAATATCAAGTCTGTTGAATGCACTGTATATAATTTAATTTAATGCTTGTTATTTGAACATACTAGTAGTTGATAGAGATTCTTACTCTGTCTAAAGCTATGTAGTCATTGCAATCTGGAACACACTTGATTAATAATTTCATATGTGATTAAAGTTCTAAATTTTCTGTTTGCTGTTTTATAGAACTGTTACAGAAGAACCCAGAGGACTTAGCGATGAACGCGGCAGACAATTATCGCAGAATTCAGGAGGAGAGATACATTATTGACAGGTCCATACCCTTCATAGATTACGGAAAGGGGTGTAAGTATTTTTAAAAAATGATAATATTCATGTTGTATATATACGACAGTAAGGCTAATGAAAGGCAAAAATTCATTATAATATTAAGATTTTTTAAATTATACAGACATACTTTTCATGTTGTTTTTAGAAAAATTGAAGAAAAAAAAATTTCTCATGTTTTCAGCAAAATTCTTCATCAAAGTGATAAGAGTTACCTCTCTTTGTAAATGTTTTCTATTTTGTTGATTTTTTTTTTTTCAGATCGAGTGGGCAGTGAGTTCTGGAAACAACAGGAGAGATTTGGAGATGAAGAGACAGGCATACAGTAGGCTTTATTTGTTGTAGAAAAAAAAATGAATTTTTTTTTGCAATTTAAAATCTAAATGTTTTTAAAAATTTGATGGATATTTGTATGTTTTTCATTTTCCTGGTGATACAATCCTACAATTTATCTTGTACATTTTGAATGGAAAATACAAAACTAAAAATAAAAAACTGATTGCAGGATAAAAAACAAACATAAAAAAAATTCCACTTAGTTTGCATGGAAAAAATATTTCATCAATTTATTACAATGTTTTTGGAGAATCTAAGATTTTTTTTCTGAATTGAACATACTTTATTGACAAAGTCAAAAGGATAAGACACAAATTATATAACAGATAGTCCTTTCCATAGGAAATTTTATAAAATTGTCATTATAGAATTGTTTTAATTAATTCATTTCAGTATGACATTGACTAAGTCAGAACAGGGTTACCCACCCCCGATAGAACATATCGGGGTCCCTAAATCAGTGAGGGCTGAGAAGGGTTGGAACTGGCCCCCCTATCACACCACCCCCGTCCACTACCCCTGGCACAAAAACCCCTACCTAGAGGAACGCAAGAATCAGCTGAAGGAGGTCATTAGTGAACTGGATCCACATAGACCGGTGGGTATAGTTACAATTTTCTTTTCCAGTGTTTTCCCTTTATTTCAAAGTAAAGGGTTAGAGATCAGTTTTAAAAGGCTAGGGGCTGAAGTTTACAAACAAAATCTTTGTTGATTTTACAACAGATTTTTATTTCAATACGGCATTTTTGTCAATTGAAGCGGTCAATTTGGCCGGTAGCCAGTTCTTAGGGAAAAGATTGCTTTTCCCCCTGAAAACATCAAATAAAAGATATTCGATAGGACTACATTAATTCAGTTTAGATGGGAAGGAACAATATATGTCTCAAATACTTCTTGACAAATTGGACGAATTTAACTTTATTAAAAATAAGATTCTTAAATTTTCACAACAGGACATTGAAAATAGTGTGAAATCTGTGGTAAAGTTGGTGATTTTCGAGGAAAATTATCTTTTATTGAAATTTTTTTAGCATTGTATAGTTAAAATGATGGTGTCATAATCCCCAAAGTTGTGCTCACAAATTAAACAGCTTGCATTTTAAAAGACTACAGAAATGAGGAATCCTGATAATTTCAGTTTAAAATTTGATAAAATTACAAATAAATTCAATAAACTAGCCAAGTTCTTAATTTGACTTTGCTGAAGAAAGAAATAACATGGACCCTTTGTTTTTTGTAGGAGTTTGACAAACTGGAGGTGATAGGGACAGCTAACCCCGTGAGTCACGAACGTGTCCAATCAAACCTCGGGGTGATGGAGGAGGAGGAGAGACTGACCGAAGGGGGGCTGGACATGGACTACATGTAAGTATTAATATAGGTCAAAGGTCAAAGGTAAAAGGTCCATTAAGGATTTATGTACCTTCACCTAGTGATTTTTTTCTTAAAAAAACATTTTAACATTCAAGCTGTATAATACATATGTTACAACAAATACTATGTGAGATGGGTAAAATTTGACCTTACATTCATCTAAAAAATATTCCAAATTTTCTTCTAAAACACAGGGAACCGCCACAAGAAATAGACGACAAAGACGAAAACAAAGATGAAGCCGTGTTTGGACCATCCATCAGCTTCGCAGGTCAGCCTGCCCGCTGGACGGGGGACAGTCACAGCTACGCGGACCAGATCGGCATCGAGGCCAGGGTGACCTTCGAGTCTCTGGCCGGAGACAGGGTCACGTCGTATCTGTACATCGTGAACGACGGAACCACCGCTGTGTATTATGATTGGAAGGTAGGGAAAGGGTTAAGGTTATGGAGAAAATGAAAGTTGAGAGTGAAAATAGGGAATGATTGAATTGGTTGAAATTTAGGGTAAAATGTTTGTTAAAATTTAATGTTAAGATTTTGATGTTTTAAAACTTGAATTTAAAGAATGTTGTTTTTAAGTATTTTTTTTTTATTTTTTATGTGGTAAAAACAGTAAAAAAGTACTACTGATTAAACTATTTAATCCTCTAAATGCTACTTCGAGCTATAAATAAACTGCAAATCACGGTGATTTCAAGCTGATTTATGCGATATTTTTCTAAAATCACAATTTATCAAAATGCTGTTTATAATTTCAATATAACTTGGCACACAAGTAGACTACACTAAGATACATAATTCTGTGTATCGGTTTTTGATTTCGATGAACGGTGTTGCCGTGGTTACTAAAAATAGAAATTTCTGTGAAATTCTTTCAAAACGCTACTCCTCCTACAGTTTTGGTCTGATTTCAGTATAACTTGGCACACAAGTAGACTACACTAAGGTACATAATTCTGTGTATCGGTTTTTGATTTTGATGAACGGTGTTGCCGTGGTTACTAAAAATAGAAATTTCTGTGAAATTCTTTCAAAATGCTACTCCTCCTACAGTTTTGGTTTGATTTCATTATAACTTGACACACAAGTAGTAGGGGTGAAACGATATTTTTTTCGATACGTAAAAAAAATTTTCGATACGATACATTTTGATAGAAGGAAACATATTCAACTGTTGTTTTATGCTTTCTTTTACTTAATCTAGTCAAAAAAATTATGTGCAGAATGGATATTATAAATAAATTTAATTGATTTGTCTGTTAAAATTTATTTTACAAACTTTAAGTCCACAAAAATTTACTTTTTGAACTAATTATACAGAGAAGCATGTTTATACCTTATGCCAAACCCGACTGAATGACGATCCCGACCGAAAAAAGAACCGAACCGAAAGTAGAGATTTTGTACCGTGTATCGAACCGTGAAAAAATACCGCGGTGAACCGATACCGCGGTGAACCGTTTCACTCCTAACAAGTAGACTACACTAAGATGCATAATTCTCTGTATCGGTTTTTGATTTCGATGAACGGTGTTGCCGTGGTTACTAAAAATAGAAATTTCTGTGAAATTCTTTCAAAATGCTACTCCTCCTACAGTTTTGGTCTGATTTCAGTATTACTTGGCAAACAAGTAGACTACACTAAGATACATAATTCTGTATATCGGTTTTTGATTTTGATGAACGGTGTTGCCGTGGTTACTAAAAATAGAAATTTCTGTGAAATTCTTTCAAAATGCTACTCCTCCTACAGTTTTTGTTTGATTTCATTATAACTTGGCACACAAGTAGACTACACTAAGATACATAATTCTGTGTATCGGTTTTTGATTTTGATGAACGGTGTTGCCATGGTTACTAAAAATAGAAATTTCTGTGAAATTCTTTCAAAATGCTACTCCTCCTACAGTTTTGGTCTGATTTCAGTATTACTTGGCAAACAAGTAGACTACACTAAGATACATAATTCTGTGTATCGGTTTTTGATTTTGATGAACGGTGTTGCCGGGGTTACTAAAAATAGAAATTTCAGTGAAATTCTATCAAAATGCTACTCCTCCTACAGTTTTTGTTTGATTTCATTATAACTTGGCACACAAGTAGACTACACTAAGATACATAATTCTGTGTATCGGTTTTTGATTTCGATGAACGGTGTTGCCGTGGTTACTAAAAATAAAAATATCTGTAAAATTGTTTCAAAATGCTACTCCTCCTACAGATTTGGTCTGATTTCAATATAACTTGGCACATAAGTAGAATACACTAAGATACATAATTCTGTGTATCGAATTTTAATTTTGATGAACGGTGTTGCCGTGGTTACTAAAAATAGAAATGTCTGTAAAATTGTTTCAAAATGCTACTCCTCCTACAGTTTTGGTCTGATTTCAGTATAACTTGGCACGCAAGTAGACTACACTAAGAACATAAAGAGACTTTATCAACGATCATTATTCTATTTAGTTTCAAATCCCAGCTGCTTTACTTTTCTCTTCCTTTGCTAATAAACAATTTTTAAGAGACTTCTGGTTATTTTGTATCCTTATTACTATGTAACATTTTCCGATTTCCATGCATTGTATTAATTATTTTTTTAACAACAGAGGATCCCCCGAGAGAACCCCTTTGACTTGGTTCATGCGAGAGTCCAGCGATTTTACTTCAATAACAGCAGTGGTATGTGTTATACTGTAAAAGATTATTTTTTCGACTGTCTCAATTTCAATTATTGTGGAGGTTTTGTGGGATAGGTAATAAAACAATATGTTGTGAATGCAAAGTGAGTTCTTACAAAATGATATTTTTAAATTTTCATTTGTTTACAAATGGATTTAACCTCTTACATTTTGTAAAAATTGCTATATAAGTGCAAGTGTTTACATGTATGAATCATAAGATATCAGCCTGATAATTCTTGAAAAATTTATCCAATTTTAAGAGGAGACCCTTGCTTGAAAAAAGAGATTTGACAATCAAAGAAATGTATAACTCTATATTTAAAATCTGAATGAATTTTTTTTATGGAAAACCCTGGAAATTTTACTTCAGGCCATGTAAAGTTAAACATTTAAGAGAGGGAGGCTTTGTTTTTTTTTTTTTTTGGCAAAACATGATGGGGCTTTTTGTACAAAACCTCAAAAAAATGATGAGGGAGGTGATTTGTTGTTTTTATTTTATTGATTTAGCTATAAAAGGTGTGTGAAGAATGATCATTAATTTTTTATGACCTTAGGAAAATGTTCATGAATTATATAAACTGGTGACTTTGGAATCATTTTATTTGTAGACTGCTTTTTGTGATTTATTCATGTTTAGGGGATGTGAAGAAATCATTTTATCAGTGAATTTGTTGTTATGAAAGACTTTACACAGTAGAACCAACGTCCTTGAACTCTTAATTTAGGGTTAAAATCTATCATGAAATTTATCATGTAAAATATAACCGGGGCCCTGCAAAATATAATAATAATTCCAAAGTCCATAGTCAAGTTTTGTTAAACATGTTACAATTTTGTTTTATTATTCTATGAAGTTTCAAATTTCCAGGAGATTGAAACTCTCTCATTTTCTATTTTTGATTTTTTGTTATTAGAGGGGTTAATTATAACAAGTGGAGCTTGTTTATGTTATGTGCCTATTTTTAGTTTATTGTTAATATCCTTAATACAAGAAAATTGTAAACTACAATTTAAAAAAAATGACAAATCAACCAACCTACCCACACTAAAAATTATAGCAAACAAAGCAATTTTTAAGCTTGGCCTTATCTATTTGTCAAGCAAAATCATGCTTACCTAAGACATGTTTTTGAAAACTCTTGTTGAATATTTTCCAGGTGTAATTTTGCCTGGAGAAACCATGAAGTTCCCATTTGTCTTCAAGTCCCCGAATGCAGGGGTTTTCTCGGAGCAGTGGAAGTTTGAGACTCGACCGAGTTTATGTGGGGGAGCCGCCTTAATCGTGACCCTGAGGGGAATCGCACTACAGGAGGATAAATTCCAGAAAGAACGGGAGGAATTGGAGGTAACAAACAAATGGATGGATCAAAGAATTGACTTTGATGTGTAGGTGGATCATAGAACTGATCACAATGATATGTAGGGCATGGGGTTTTATTGAAATAATAAGTAGGACATGGGGTGGATCAAAGAATTGACTGAAAGGAAGTGTATGTTATATGTAGATCAAAGAATTCATGTCATTGACAATAATATGCAGAACTTGGGTTAAAAAAGAATTGACTAAAAATAATGTGTAGGTTATAGGCATCTGGGCATCATAGAATTTAATTACCACAATAATATGTAGTGCACTGGGTTTTCCTAAAATAATAAGTAGGACATAGAATGGATCAAAGAGTTTTCTAAAATTAAATGTAGAAAATTGGTTTAATCAAAAAATAAAATAGTGGGTAAGACATGTTGTATGTATACATAAATTGGCACATTTAATGAGTGGAAAATTTTTATTTTTAAATAATAAAATAAAATAAATTCTGTACAGAAACATATGCATAAACAAGTTAATAGTGACAGAAGCTTTTAGAGCCCAATAGAAAGGCTTGCAAAGTGCCCATGACATTAAGATTTATTCAGAAACAAAACAGACTATTTTTCAAAGATCGAAAAATAAATATTTAAACCTGAGAACAGACAGTGATGACATTAACACTAAATGCCATAACTCCTGTTTTTGTCTGATATAACAATCAATTAGTTGTCGACAAACTCATACTCCGTAAATTGTACAATTTCATTGGACGATAAACAAGGGTTATAGGAATCAGTGCCATTTTATATCCAATCACATCACTTTTTTCATCCTCCCACGATGAAACATTTATATTATGTAATCAATAAATAATAAATAGTATTTACATCTTTGTCATGTAAATATCATTTGAGTTTTTATGTTTTCGTGTACGGTTTTCTTAGTATTTGCAAATATCATTTGATTTCATGTTTTGTGCACGTATATCACAAGCATTTTGTTTGTGATATGATCAATTCATCAAAACAGACTGAAAATAATTAATAAAAGAAAATTTCATAATCATAATTTGATATTTCATGAAAAACAATATTATTGTTTTTCATGAAATATTTAATAATGAAAATTTAGAATTTTTGATATAATAAGCTTATTTTGCACATTTCAATTTAGATAACTGTAGTTCTGAAGTATATTTTTTCTACTGTGTAGCATTGATTAATGTTATGCTGTCACTAATTTTCTTTGGAATTTTCTGTCATATTTAAATGTACATGTATAATACTAAGGTAGCTAGTGACAATCTAAGAAGCACCGGTAACTTTTATTTATTTTAAGCTGCAGGACTGTAGCTCTCCAAAAAAATATATTGACAGACTGGAGAGCTACAGTGCCACCCACTGAAAAAACTGTATATTTATTGTGAACAATGACTGAAAGGTGACTGAAAGTTTACTGATAGATGACTGAAGGTCTACTGATTCAGTCACCTTTCTAGACCTTTTAGTGACCATTCAGTGGATTTAAAGGTGAAGTTTCATCCTATGAAGGTTAATTGTGTTAATTCAATATTTCTCTCCTTATACATAAATTGAGATGCATTACAATTTTCATTGTCCTAACATAAGTAGGAGTTAACATCCCTTTGAGACTCCTGCATACATGCAACAGCTTACAAGATATCAAAGTTTCCCTTTGAAACTCCTGCATACATGCAACAGCTTACAAGATATCAAAGTTTCCTTTTGAAACTCCTGCATACATGCAACAGCTTACAAGATATCAAAGTTTCCCTTTGAGACTCCTGCATACATGCAACAGCTTATAAGATATTAAGGTCTCCATTTTTAGCTCTTCTGAGCCAAAGGCTCAAAGAGCTAATGCTATGGCCATTTGTGCGTCATGCGGTGTGCGTTAACTTTTTAGAAAATGGGCCATAACTCAAGAACGCCTTGGCCAATCAGTGTCAAATTTGTCACAGAGACCATTTATACTAAAATAAGGGTTGGGACCCTTAAACAAGGGGAGATAATCAGGAAAACAAAACCAAAAGTACTGGTTGCTAAAAAATCTTCTTTTCCAGAACCACCAGGCAGATTTTCACCAAACTTACACACAAGGATCAGAATATGTTGAAGATTAAAAATTGTTCAAGGCATGACCCTGGGGCAAAGGGCGTGGTCTCAAGGTCACTTCAAAGTTGACCTAAATTTACAATTGATAAAAACGTTTATATTTTGCTTACTATAAGGACTAGGATCATCAAATCGTGTAAGTTGATGCATCTTAAGACTTCACATCATCTTAAATCAAAAGTAGGTCACAGTGACCTACTTTTTTAATTTTGCGGGCATTTATTTTCAAATTGATTTGAAGGCATATTTTGGACACTTTAAGGCCTATGATCATCAAACTTTGTTAGTTGATGCATCTTGGGTCCTTGAACAACTTCAACCTAAAAGTAGGTCACCTTGACCTACTTTTTGAACTTTATGACTTATCCTTTTTAAAACATTTAATCCCATTATTGCAGACACTGAGAGGGTTAGAATCATCAAATCTTGTAAATTGCTGCATCTTGAAACATATTTATAAAAAAGTAGGTCACTGTGACCTACTTTTTGAATTTTGCAGGCATATGTTTTCAGTTTAAAAGGCATATTTTGATTACCTTCAGACCTACGATCATCAAACTTGGTCAGCAGATGCATCTTGGGAATTTGAAAAATGTTGACTAAAATGTAGGTCACGGTGACCTACTTTTGACATTTTATGGCTTTATTTTAATCTTGGTATTTATTGGCTAAGAATCATCAAACTTTGTGAGTTGATGCATCTTGGATATACAGTGACCTACTTTTGACATTTTATAGTTTTATTTAAGTATCTTAGGTATTAATAAGCTTAGAATCATCAAACTTTGTGAGTTGATGCATCTTTGGGTTTTCAGAGAGTGACCCAAAAAGTAGGTCATGGTGACCTACTTTAATTTTATAGCTTTATTTAAGTATCTTAGGTATTTATAAGCAAATTCAAACTTTGTGGGTTGATGCTTATTTGAATATAATAGGTCATGGTGACCTACTTTTGAATATCTCGGATACATATTGGCTGAGAATCTTCAAACTTTGTCAGTTGATGTATGTTGGGCTTTCAAAATTCGCCTACTAAAAATTAGGTCACAGTGACCTACTTTTAACATTTTATGGCTATAATTAATTATCTCCAGTACTTATTGGCTTGGAATAATCAAACTTTGTCAGTTGATGCATTTTGGTTTTTCTGTACTGTCAAAGAAATTTTGACTATCCTTTGGCTTAGAATCTTCAATCTTTGTCTATTAATGCATCTTGAGGTTAATTTTATGGTTTTTTTTATAGCTTTATTAAGATATCTTCAGTTATAATTGGCTAAGAATCATCAAACTTTGTCAGTTGATGTAAGTTGGCTCTTAGAATACTTAGGGTTAGAGGCTTCAAATAGAAGTGATAGGTTGTACAATTTATCAGAAGAGCGATTCAAGGCCCTTGGGCCTCTTGTATGATTACAGAGAGACCTGCAGCAGAAGCAGGCAGAACAAGTCGCGAGACAGATCCTCTATGACATCATCAGTGGAATCAAATCTCCCGACAGACCCTCGTCACCCATAGACGCTTACATCACCGACGAAGAAATCTTCAGCAGAAATAATCCCAAGGTAGAGAAATAATCAACAGAGGTTCCAAATTCACATCAGTATAGTACTGTGAAATGACTACCTGTTGTTGTGGGTTCATTTTGTTGGGGAAGAGGGGATAAATTTTCATTGCTTTAATGGTGTAGAATCACAAACATATTCAAGCCCCCCCCCTTTTCACATCTGAAAGATATAATGATACTGTGGCTTATCTTACCCTTACTTAAAGGAAATTTTCATCATTTATAAATTAACCAAAATTTAAATATACACAATATCTGTATTGCACAAGTTTACTGGATTTTTTGGCCTGTGAAGTTTTTTTTTACCATTATTTAAACACACCTGTGTTCTATTTTTAGCTCCACTACAACCACACACTGGTGGGGGAGCTGAAGCAGCTGTACATGGAGATAGCCCCGGAGGAGGATCGCGAGGGGCGGGTGTGGGACCTATCAGTGGAGGATCTCAAAGATGTTTGTTTTAATGCTTCTATTACTTTTATGTGAATATTCATGTAACTGTCACTATTTATACAAATAATCATGTGAATTCTACTATTCATAGAAATAATCATGTGACTATTTATAGAAAGAATCATGTGAGTTACTATTTACAGAAAGAATCATGTGACTGTTACTATTTACAGAAAAAATCATGTGACTTACTATTTATAGAAATAATTATGTGACTGTACTATTCAAAGAAATAATCATGTGATGGTAATTATTTATAGGAATAGTCATGTGACTGTTACTATTTATAGAAATAAACATCTAACTGTTCCTAATAATCATGTGACTTTTACTATTTATAGGAGATTGTAGCCATGGATGAAGATGATGAAAGAAAAGAGAATTTCCTCCATCAGCTGAACACTATCATCTCCAAAATGTCTTTCTGTCCAAATAAACCAGTCAAGAAAGATCTTTATAAAGTGGGGTAGGTTATAACTCCATTGACATTCACAAGATTTGAATATTTGAATGAAAATTTAAAGAAAAGTAAAAGAACAAAATATTGGGTGTTCACATATTGTTAAAAATTACTTAAGAAATGCTTTTCATTAAAGATTTCTTTGTTAAAAGTTAATATCAAAAGTTTAATGTCTCATGAAATACAGATTATGTCATAAGAGTTGGAATATGGTTTTCCCTTTAGTGTCCTGCAGTTATAATCCCTACAGTAAAATCTGCTTAGAACTAAGACAGATAGAGTGAATTATTAGATATAAAGATTTTTTTTTTTTGCAATCCTCAGTGAAGTTCTTAACTTCTTGCAAAGTTTTAGGGATATAACAGACTTGGGTTTAATGTTTTTTATGGTTATAGTTGACTGATTTTGTAACACCTAAAAAATAAAAATAACACAATTTTACGTCTTTTATGCCAAATTTTCAAAGATTCATAAATTTTTGTTCTTAACTCATTTACAAGACATATATTTTTTTTTTACAAAGATTTAGTTCAAATCATCTGTTTATCAAATTACCAAATCTGTACCATGTAAAAGTTATTGGAAGACACTTTTTTAAGACGAAATCTTGCCTGAAATTGAAGTCAAAAACAACATATTTTTCAATAGAATTCAATCAAATATAACATCAGAAATATTATGAAAGCAATTGTATCATTGGGATTTAATTATGCAGATATAAAGCAAATTTCATAAAATTTTCATAAAATGTACAACAGTGAAAGGTGATTCATATGACTAGTTCTAATGATGTTAACTCTCCCGATGGCGGGAAATCTTGCCTACCGATTTAATTGAAATCTACCGCTTTTCAAAAAGCTGCGTCTATTTTTTTCGCTTGGGTATCCATTTTTGAAGCCACTCTCAATAAAATATAATCATACAAACGCTTTTTTTGTACATATTTCAAGCACGGATTTGACAACGACAACAACATTACCAGTGATTACATTGGTTACTAAATCAATCAACATCCCTGCCATGAAAAAGGAGATACAGCTTAAGAATTAGATGAAAACATTTGACATCGTCTTTAAAAGCACAGAAGCTAAACTTTATCAATAAAGTCAAATTTTGACACCATGTGGCAAATTTTTTTCATCATTGTGGGAAATCTGATTTATATAACAAAAATACATGCCATCATTTGTTTTGTTTAAGGTGAATATTCATTATTGACTAATTTCAGCAAAGATCACTCTTCAAAAGGCTTTAATCCAAGCAAAATGATCAATGAAAATATTTGAATTTGTACAATTTATGTCAAACTTAGGGTGTGTCCTTCTTCTTTGCTGTTGATATAAATTTAATGTTAATTTCATTAAATTATACATGTATATTACATGAAATATTAATCCAAGCGTTAAATAAAAATGCTACCGCTTTTGATCTGAATCCTCTCATCACAATAGGTTAACATGTATGAATTTTAGAAGGCCTGCAATAAAAATGTTAACATTAAATTTCCAAGAAATATTGGAAATAAAACAGATTAACCTCTCCTGAGTGAGAGACAGGGAAACATATTTGTGATATGTATCTTTAATAGAGGAAGGGTGAACAAGCAGGACACTATGTGTTAATTTCTGAAATTCTGGATTTTCCAGGTACGAACTTTTGGTGGAGGCAGTAGACAGCATCGTTAGGGAATCCTACGCGATTCGTCACACAATGGGTTTACCCGAGAGAGAAAATGATGATCTTCCTGATGACTTCAGTAAGTAACGAATTTTTGAAAGTCTACATCATTATCATACGTACGTGATGGATTGCATGAATTTCATGCAGTGGGTGTGTTTGTATGTTTGGTTTGTTTGTGCAATGTAATTGGATTGTGTATGTGGAATTTAAACAGATATTAATTTGCTCAATTTATTGGCTTTTTGAAATTGCATAGCAAGTAGAATAAAATTGATATGATTATAGGCGATTAGCTAGTTACAGTAGATTCCTAATTATACGCGAGGAGTTAATTTTCGCGTAATTTCGCGATAAGCATCACGCGCGAAATAATGTTACTCGCTTTTATTTTTAGGATGCTGAATTCTATTTAAATTCCATTGATCTAATATTCATTCGCAAATTATTATTCTCGCAATTCGACGTTAAAAAGTAAGTACGCGATAAAAGGTTCTCGCGAAAAATAAGGAATTTACAGTAGATGACATTTTATATTTATTTTATTAATGTGAATGGATTTAAATTTTAAGAATTGGAATACTAGTAGTGTTCTTTTTTTTTTTTTTTGAATGAATGAATTTAATTTTTTTTATTTAAAAAAAATATTTTGTCACTGAAGCCAAAAATTTAGGCACACTAGACACAGCAGATTTGGTCACCAACAGTGAAGATGGTGGGTCTTTAGAACAACACTGTAGTCCACTATTGCCACACACATTTGTATACACCCTGTAGTTTCTATAATCAGAATGTTTAATTTGGGAATAAGTTCTGTCATGTTTTGCCATGGCCTGTCTAGAGATGAATTTCTTACTGGTATTCAATGTGTAGATAGTGTCTGCTTTGTATCTTACTGTTCACAGTCTTTCTTCTCTTAGACTGAAGTAAATTTTTCTTTGTAAAAAGAAAAAAAATTCTCTTCTGTATTTTTTTTTCATTCCAAATGTGGACCTAGTGTTATCCTTTTTTAGCTGTGTGTTTCCAGTGTGATATGATCTGAAATTAACTTGTAGTAGCTTTAGTGTCATTTCAAGACAAAATATTTATTAAATATTCTATGTTTGGTTATCATCTTTGTCTGAATTTGAATAATCTCAGTGAGAGATGTTGTAAATTATCAAATTATATTGAAAAAGTTTTAGAATGTGCTGGTTTTTTTCACACAAAAAATATACTTACAGCATACCGGATGTTTAAAAAAGTCACAAGAATGACCTCAGTTGTGTCAGCATTCAGTGAGTGATTGGTTGAAATCTAGACATGAGTTCTCATTTCTGCACTGTGATTGGTCAACCAATGATAGTTGATCATGTGACCTAACACTTGAAATTCATTGGTTCTTTAGTTTTCTGTTTGAGTGTGTGTCGTTAAGGTAGACAATTTTTAGTTTTGTATTTCTTCTGCTGCTTGTAGGATTTGTCAATGAGTAAATTTACATTAGTTTTCTTTGTTTTTCTTTCTTTCTTTAAATTGGTTTCTATAAATATTTTATAAATGTAAAAAAAAATACTTCTACAGTTTTGTCCATGACTTGGTTTCTTTTTTGTGTGAACTGGTGTTTTTGGTTTCTGTTGTGGTATCTTTTCTGTCTAACCAATATTTTCCTTCAATGATTTCATTTTTTGGCCACAAGAAATGGATCAGAAGATATTTTCTTGAAGATTGCTATGTTGTGTTACATCTTTCAAACATCTTAGACCGTTTAAGTCATTTTGGTGTGCAGATAAATTATTAATTGAAACATACTTGTAGCGACATTAATCAGAGTGATATGCCTTAGATTTGGTAGACATAAATTGGATTTGTCATATCTGGTTTTGTATGAAGACTTTTTGAGTGCTGTGAAAAAAAAAAATGAACAAGAAAATAGATAAAAGATCTTAAGTAAAAGGACACGCATATAACCATTTGCAACTTTCTTCATTTTCATTTACTGTTACAGTACAATTTAAGGCTCTGAAAATTTTCATTATGTTAATCCATGTCGATTTCTTTAAAGACAGAAAAAGTATGTTAATTCAGTTTGATTGTTTTCAGTATATTTTTCAAGCATTGTGTCAAAAAACAAATTATGAGAAAAAATATTTATTTCCATGGTTTTTTATCCTTCTATTAGATGCCTCTACAGAATCAAGGTTAAGTAACCGTCGGCAACCATCACGTTTGTCTAATGCAGACAGTGACATGAGTGAGTTATCTCCCCCAATAGTAACTTAGAACTTCCTGTAGGATTATCTCCCTTTCGTAACACAGCAGCCATTTGTAATATTGAGGTTGTTGATAGTACAATTTCCATATATATACATCTTTAGTTGTCTTTACATCTTCAGCTATTCAGCTTTTAATAACATATAATGCATGCAACTCACTATTAAGTTTATTTCATAAGAGTCAGGGAAATCAGGGAGATATTGCATGCATATTTTGAAATAAAGTTTATATAAAAGTTGAATTTTATGTAGAATGAGATTTTTTTAAAACAAATGTTCATATAAGGTTGTTTTTTTTTTTGCGCTCTCTTTTTTTTTCTTCTTATCTTATATTTATCATTTTTTCAGGTAAAAATGTTTACATTTATTTTGTAAAAATTCATTACAGGGAAAAAAACAATCAAGTCAAATAACAATTCAACATAAAAAAAATTAGGAAAAAAACCATAAAAACATTCTAAACAGTCCTGATTTTAAAAAAAACAAAACATGCATCTTCTTCATCAAAGTGAGACTGGATACTAGCTTCCTCAGAATATATCTGTATGTCTTTATCTTTATAAAGGTGAGGGTCTATTTATCTGCAGTGCTGCTGAAACTAATTAATATATCTTTATAATTAATAATAGCTTTTAACTTGTAGAGGGGGAAAAATGAATCGCTTGAAGCTGCCCTTATAAATATTTGTGCCAATACTAATTGCTTTTTCTTTTTTTCAGGAGTAATATTTGTAACTTTCAAAAAACCTGATTATATTAACAATATATTAAGCTATTTTTTTCTGAAACTTCTGATATGTTCATACAATTCTTCATCTAAGAACAAGGTTGGAGACAATATAGGGTCAGATATTTATATGAGTATACAACGGGAAAAAATCCTCTTCTGCATAAAGCAGTGTTTTAATTAGTCAAAAGTCAAATCCATGAAGATTTTCATTTTTATGCCATGTAATCAAAGATTTAGGGGTATATAATTTTTGCCCTGTCTGTCTTTCAGGTTTTTGTTCACAAAAACTTTAATCTTGCCCATAACTTTTCGTGACAAGACCTTTCTTTGGGTACCACCAAATTTAACCTCTTGACCTTGGAGTTTGACATGCAATTGAGAAATTTTAACCCTCACTAGAAGCTGCCATATAGGGGAGCTACATGTATAAGCTACATGTGTAAGCTGCCATATGGGGGCTCTACATGTATAAGCTGCCATACAGGGACATCAAAGAGACACAGACACATCTTGTTTTTCCTTGATTTTTTGCTAGGGGATGTTCTGTTTTGCGATGCCATTATTTATTTTAAAAAAAAGATAATACACTTTAATATTTTTTTAAATGAATTGCTCAACAAAACAGATCCAAACTTTATGAAAAAGTTCCAACTAAAGAGTCAATGGAAACGTGCATCAGTCATGGTGAACGAGAAGAGGATGTCCATATTTGGGAAAGGACCTGGTTGGTAGAATCAGGTTATAGAGTTCAAAGTGCAAAGTTCAGTTTCAAAATTTCAAATGTTCATATTTTTTTTTACCAAAGTTTTACGTTTTTCGATTTGAATGAATGAATTTTGATGTTTTGAGACATTATATTACGTTAGAAATTTCTGTTTCTGTCTAAGGTTATTTCAGACTGGGAATGAAATCTTAACATGTTTGGCAATGCATTTAAGCTATGTTTAAGCAATATCTGATCCTCCAAAATTTTGAGGATTTTAAATGGTTTACATTTTACATGATTCTAAGGCAAGTTCTATTTCTGTACTGCAAGTGTTATTTTAGTCTTTGAACCCATACACCTTTCATAAGTAAAAATAAGTCAATCAGTTTATATAGAGGAGGTTGATATGTAAAATATGAAGACATAGTAACTATTTCAGGTCAATTTTTATAAATTGATTAAAAAATTCCTTCTTAATGTTCTAATTAATCATGAGGCAACCAGATGCACTGTAATTGTTATTTCAGTCTTTAAACCCATTCACCTTTCTTAAGTGAAAATAAGTCAATCAGTTCCTGTAGAGCAGGTCGATATGTAAAATATGACTATTTCAGGTTATCATTTTTTATTTAATAAAAATTTCCTTCTTAATGTCCCAATTAATCATTAGGCAACCAGTTGGAGAGAATTTCTATTGGGAAATAAGTAATATATTACTGAAAAGAACACTTGTTTTATAACAATAATGTACTCCATTAAGGCCATCATGAAATATTGCTAGTTTGACCTCTCCAGACTCAGGATAAAAGAAAACTTAGGTCATTTGGTAGGTTGGGAAATTTTTCTTTTCCCTAAATTTTCTACATCAACCCATGCTGAATTTTTGAAATCTATTTGAATATTGAAGGTATGAATTAAATTTTTTTTTAAAAAGTCTTTAAAAAATTAAGTTTCTGACAGGATCAGAAAATCCTGGAATAAATGAAAAATAAACTCTTTTTTAAAAAGATTTCTGGTCGACCATTTTAAGCAAGTCATTTTGGAGAGGGCAATCAACCAATTCCTTGTAATGTAATATGTCACTATTATTTTAAAATTTTCCAATTATTTTAAAATTTTCCAAAGAGTTTTTGACTGCTTTGATTACAAATTTTGATGCATACATGTGATCATTGAAATCTAAGTTCTGTAGTGTTAATTTACAACAGATATTTTTAAAAGGGAATTTTATTGAAAAAAGGATGCTCAAAATGGGGTAAATCCTCCCCTTCCAAAGAATTGAAGCGTTTCTTATGCTGTATACCATTTACTGTGAAATCACAAATTTCGTGGGGGTTTAATTTTTGTTGTTTTCGAGGTATGAACAGACCCACAAATTCATGTCCATCACGAAATATGAAAATGTTACATGTTACGTACTCAACAATTCTTCATCCATGAATTCAAATCCCAACGAACCAATAGTTTTTCCACAAACTATGAAAATTTGACCCCACGAAAATATGTGATTTTACAGTAATTACTAGTATTTATTAAGAATACTGGTATTATCTTTCAATTAATTAATAAATTTTTATTCTCATTTTTCCTCACTTGCCAGCTCGGAATAAGGTCAAGATATATAAAATGACTAACATCTTATTAAACTTTCAAATATTAATCTATTATTTACTTTCAGTTTCTGTTTAGCGCTGCTGTATACTACATGTATCTTAAAATAACTTGTTTAATACAGCAGTCACGGATCGTGTTGGCGTTAATTTTTTTCTGTTGATAAGTTTTGCAAGATTTATTATATGCTAGCTATTTTTTATGGTTTTAAATCATTATAATTTTCCTTGAAGTTCAACTTTAAAAAATATGAATTAATATGACAAATGATGTAGTAATCAAGTTCGAGATACAAATTAGTGCTCTGGTTAATTGAGTTTATGTTTAGTACTTTTTCATTAATCTCAAAGACAATACTAGGTCGCCCAATGTTGCAATCTCCATTAGAAATGTCAAAGTATCTACAATAAAAATATTTTTTTTTTAATGTACTTAACTGATATTTTTTTTAATGTTTTATTTGTAATATCACGAAACAAGTTTAAAAAATACTAATTAATTTTCAAATATATGTCTAAATAAATTAAGTTAATATGTATTTTGCTACTTATGTACAATTGATTTATTGAAAAATTTAATCCTGATAAAAGTTTGGGCATCTAAATAAAATTTTTCCTTTTGCCAAAAATTTATATTGAACAAGATTTGATTGCAGGTATTACTGAACATGCTATGGATAAGACTTTTTAGTCATTTTTGCAATGGAAAAAAAAAACCAATAAAATAAGTTTTTTCTTGAAACAAAGAATTCAGTTGGAATATTTCTTTTTAATAAAAGATTCAACATATTTTACATTAAAATTAAGATATTAAACTTTGCAATTCTTTTTCATGGTGTTGAAGTAAAAAAGGTCTCATAAGTGAATTGTTCTTTTATATCTACAGGTGATACTCGCAGTAAATCTAAAGCAGAGAACAAAGGAGCCAAGGCACCGCAAGAAAAGAAACCACCGGCACCAAAAGATGCCAAGGCCGCCAAAGGCAAAGAGGTGGGTCTGAGTGTGGGGGATTACATGGTAGTACTGAGATATACAGTGTCAGGTTACAGGGTAATTCAGTGGGTATTCATGATAGAACAATGTGCTTCAGGGCAATAATGTCATGTTTTAGACAGAAGGTTAACTTTTTTCATGGGGAAAAAAACTCTGGTAAAAAAAATGTTGTTTTGTTATACAGCAGAACTACAGTAAACAGAATTTTATTAGAAGGGCAATATGGTACATGTAGTTGGCATTGCAGGGTATTAATGTGGTTGTTTTTTGGATATAATTATATGGTAGCCAAGAAATGCAATAATGTGATTATGATTTGGAGTAATTATTGTTTTTGGCACATATCATTGGGCTTAACTCAAGGACTGTGTATGGTAAGGGGGAAAAGTTTCACAATGTATCATGATATTTCAGAAAATGAACATACCATGATTTATTAAATTTTAAATTTAAAGGTTTCTCCATTGATGTTTTCCAAAATTTTTTCCCGAAATTACAAACTATACTGAAACTCATTGAATTCTCATAATAGAATTTTATCTTTATCAAAATTTGAAGATGAATTTTGAGATACATGTATATACACTGTATATTCGAATAAAGGCAACATTTTTATGCAAGCCATTCTAGCTGCCACATACATGCATATTCATGTAGGTACAATTTTAAGTTAATTACAAGTTACACTCTTAATTTTACTTTCCAAATCCTGAACATTTTGTTTAAAATTCATTGAATTCGTCAATAAGAATTCCGTTTTTATTACAGTTTAGTTACATTTCATTACCTAATATTTTCAGGCTGCAAATGCAAAACGCAGAGAGGTAAAAAGGATTTTTCCCCTACTAACTTAAATATAAATTATTATAATAATATAATTTTTTTCAATCATCTTTGGAAGATAAATTAAAATCACTAAGAAAAATTTTCTCCAAGAATTTTTCACAGATTGTGGTAATTAACTTTGATCATATATACATATACATTTATTATAATTGATTGACAAATTTCCAGAGTTTAAAGTCAAGGGAAAGTGTAAAATTAACTGCAAAAGAGGTAATATTTTTTTTACATGTGGTTATTTTTTTTCACTTGCAAAAAGGTTTGAAAATATCACCATCTTTCCTATAAAAGCAAATAAACCCCTTACCACATTTTAATTACCTTTTAATTCTGCATTTTCATATTTTAAAATTTTGGCAAGCATAAATTTGTAAACAAATGTAAATAAAACCATCTTGAAGTGTGTTTGAAATGCCTTCTGCTCATATTCCTTATACCTCTGTGGTGATGTCCACAACAAAAATGTCAAAAACAGGAGAATTGCATTGTTTTATATTACAATAATATATACAAACACAAACATTCATATACCTGCATACATGTATATTAATAAACTTTTAAGTTAACATGAGCCAAAGGCTCAAGTACACCTTTCTAATATTGTAAACTTTTCACTTCTTTCCTGAAACAATGGACTTTTTTGAGTTAAACTTGGCTAAAGGTATTCTAGGGGTAGGGAATTCATCTTTGCTCAAATGAAGGGTTGCACCTCATACAAAGGGGAAAAATCAAGAAAAGTCCAATACAGAGTGTGGGAATATAATTTTTTTTCTTAGACCTTGATATATTTAACTTAAATCAAATCTCTAAAGGGAGGGGCACAATTGGGTCACTGTCTTAAAAAACATTGTATATTTTATTTCAAAATTAAAAAAAAAATATAAAAGCTTGGGGTTCAAAAAGAATTAATTTTTTTCTATGGGTTTAAAAAAATTAATGACTTTAAATGATATTATTTTTGATGGGGAAAATCAAAATTTTATGGTATTCCTTGAACAAAATACAATGGTCATTGATCTTTATCTGTTTATGATAGATTTAACTTTAAAGGACAAGATATGGTAACGGCTGAATCTGGCCTCTTATTTGATGTAAAAATCAGAACACAGGTAAAATTTTGATAGTTTGTAGTTACGAAGTTAAAATGATGCTTGTTTTAAAACAAGCTCTTATTTAGATTCAGTGGTTACATAGATGCCACTAGAGGGTGCAGAAGTTTGCATTTTCTCCATTTCCTAATTCTGAAAATTGTTCATATATTTGAACTTTTTAAAGAATCCATTAAACAATTTACACATAATGTCTTTACTATGATAAAATATATAAATTTGGTAGGTAGGAAAATTTATACTATTTCTTGACTACAGTACAATGCCATTGGTAATCAGTCTTTATCTGTTTATACTTGATTTAAATTGATTTAAATTTATATTTTGAAAAATAAAATTATTACGATGTTTTTTTGTTTGGAAACCCAAAATCGGGGGGGGGGGGTAACTTCACTGAAGATGTCCTTTGAAGTAAAAAATTATTATCGTAAGTGTAAAAAAAAATTTGTAACTTCACTGTATCAATTTTCTATTTCTTTTCATCATGAATGTTAATTTATTTGTAAATACAGTTATCACTACTGTAATATTTTGAACACATTCATTTCTTATATACCACTGATTTTTTTAAATACCCTGGATATGTCAAATAGTTTTATCACCTATTCTTTAAGTATTTGACACAACAATATCTCTAATTCTAAAATATATCAAAGTTTTTTCTAGGTCCCAGTTTTGAGATAATGAGGTTTGACTGTATTCAGAAATTTTTTTCCTTTACCATTTTAAATGATTTGTTTCCCTTTATAGGCAAAACCAGACCCTAAGGCCAAGTCTACCCCCTCGGCCAAGAAGCCTGCGGGAAGTCGAGGTCCCTCCGTGACCCCCGGGCCTCCTGCCAGCACTGTCCCCCCAGATAGGGAGCGTACACACAGCCCCCTCAGTCCTGTACCCTCAGGGGGTGAGGACACACCCCAGGAGAAGGCATATAAACAGAAACTCACTGCTCAGGTAGGATATTACAGCTTTGTCGATAGGCTAGATTTTGAGCTGGATCCAGGTTTTCTATAGGTGGAGGAATTTCTACAATGACAGACGTATAATGTGTTATGATACCAGGTATTTTAATTGTACATGTTGAAATTTACTGCTGCATTCTCAGAAAGTGTTGTGATCTGTTTTATACCTTTAAGTTTATATATTTATTTGATTCATAAAATTCAAGATGTAAAATTAAGGATATCCAATCCTCAGCCAAGAAGGATAACTCCAAAAATTAATATTTAATTTAAAAAGCATGAATATGAGGCTTGAAAATGAAAACTTTCCATGCAACAATTTTCATCGTATTCATCTTTATATGATTCGAGGTTTATGGAAGTCTTAGAAAAGGTGTTATAAATAGTTGACATTTATACCCCTTAAAAGGAAAAAAAATAAATACAGTTTTAGAGAAGTAAGATTTTCTTGAATCGAGCCTTATATACCAACGCTTATTAGTATGAATTGAAATTAGAATTGATTTGTGATGTCTTGCAATGATAGCAAAGGCCTTTTACACTATGTATTATATAATACATGAAGGAAATAGAAGACATAGAATACCAAATAAGTAATACTATACAAATCATGACAATTTCTCTGAATGCCTGGATACATATTGTTTTTTAACCTAAAATATATTTGTTGATCAATTTGCAATATAATAAAATGCATAGCTATATTTTTCTTTTTCTAATATATCCCCTTGGCAAAGGGACAATTTTCCCTTTATAATATGATTAACTTTAATTTTAAACTTTAAAGAAATTCTGTGGGTAAATTAACATTATTTTGTTGATTCAGAGATATTTTTATGAGTATTTTGGAGTACTCAACTGCTAATTTTATGAACCTGACGACGACAACGACGACAAGATATCATAAAATTGTAGAGTGCCAGATACCAGATTAAGTGCAAAAAAAAGATGTTATGATTACAACAGCACCTGGTTGATAAAAAAAAAAATTACATGTTCCCTAACCCCTTTGAAATACAACCACCCACCCACCAACCTAGGTCTTACCTATCAAAGACAAAATATAGGAACTTAATGGGAAAAATAACTCATTTAACCATTGAGGGAAAAAAATTAAAAATTGACAATTTTTCCTCTATGTTTTCAGGCTTACCTCATTATGGATGAGACTTTCAGAAGAGTTGGTGAAGTTTTTGATAATATTTCTGCCAATGAAGAAGTCAGACCACTCACATTATGACACAGGAGGAAATGAACAAAGAATGGGACGCTTATCATCAACTTCTGTGATCCTGTGACATTTTCTTTTATTTTTAACATTTGGTTTTTACTATGAAATAATTTTTGAATCATTTTGTACTGTATACAGTGTGTGACAAAAGTACTATACCAGAAATATGTACATGTATAACTATTTATATTATAAATTTAAAAAAAAAATATTGAATGTACTAAAATTTCACTGTGATATTGAAGAAAAAGATTCCGTCCATATTTTTTGTACATTTATTTGTAAATTAGGAAAAAATAAATTTATTCTCTTTCTTATACTTTCTTTTCTAATGTTTAGCTTAAGAGAAAGCATAAGCTTTTGAATGTACAATAAAACATGCTCACAACAAAGTTTCAGGAATACCGGTATATATGAGTTTGCTTCCTTATAAACATACTTCAGTTTACCCATTAGGTTCACAATACATTTTTAAACACAGGGAATGAAAATCACTTCTCTTCTTAGATCTATTATAAGCATGTTCGCTATAAATTTGTTTTATTGTATCTGTAATGGTTTGAGCTGTGGATTCAAACCTGGATAGCTCAGTCGGTAGTGCATCTGACTGGTGATGCAGGGGTCTCGGTTTCGAATCCCAGTCCAGCCATATATTTTCTCCTTGCTATTGCGTAATTTCATTCCATTGACCGTCCCTGAATCTGCAGATGAAAATCCAGTTGTGGGCAAAAAAACTTGGGTTGAATCTTTGAGGGAGAGATCTAAGGGTCGATGCTGTGGAACTCAGGTAGTACCGTAAATCTGGAAATTTTTACGTCGATTTTATTTTGCGAATCTGGGTTAAAATGCTGTTGATTAATTTTTACGTTTCAAAATTTTGCGAATGACCACTGCTTTGCTTACATTTCCTTATTGTTGATTTATTTTTAAGAAAAATATTTTTGCGAATGCAATGAACTCGCAAATTTGCTAAAAATTTATCTACAGCAAAAATTTCCAGATTTACGGTAGAACATGTACACCTGACAAGTGATGCAAGAGTCCCTACTTCAATTCCAAGTCCAATCAAACGTTTTCCTTTCCTGTTACTACAGTTTCCAAAGATGCACCATGTTTGCTTGTTTCTAAATATACACCATTTACCTTTATTCAGTTGTATAGCAGATGACAATTTAATTCAGGGAATTACATCCATCACTTACAATTAACATACTGGTGGACAGAAAAAATACAAAAAAGACTGACTTTTCACCTAGAACAAGTTTTATTGCAAGGGCTTAAGGTGTAATATCCCTCTGATAAGAGAGATAACCTTCACTCAGAGCAAATCAATGAGTTTAATAAGGACTGGACCATTTTGTAATCAATTAAATTAAATCTGATGTATGGTACAAATGTTGATTTCCATGTTTTTTTACCACTATTATTATACTCAGTTTCTTTAAACTGTAAAAATTTAGATATTTATACCCCCGCAAACGATGTTTGGGGGGTATATACGAATCACCTTGTCTGTCCGTCCGTCTGTCTGTGCAAACGTGTCCGGTCCATATCTTTCTTACGGAGGAACATTTGAATCTACTTCTCCACACGAAGATTGCCCATGACCTAAGGGTGTGTCTTGACCTTGATCCAAGGTCATTTGAGGAAGTTCAAGGTCACTGGAAGAAAAAATTTATAATTCATGTCCGGTCCATATCTTTCTTATGGATAAACCTGGTAGGTTCTAATTTCACACAAAGATTGCCTATGACCTAAGGCTGTGTCATGACCTTGACCCAAGGTCATTTGGGGAAGTTCAAGGTCACTGGAAGAAAAATTTCATAATTCTTGTCCGGTCCATATCTTTCTTATGGAAAAACCTGGTCAGATCCAATTTTACACAAAGATTGCTCATAACCTGATGGTGTGTCATGACCTTGAAACAAGGTCATTTGGGGAAGTTTAAGGTCACTGGAAGAAAAAAATCATAATTCCTGTCCGGTCCATATCTTTCTTATGGATAAACCTGGTAGGATCTAATTTTACACAAAGATTGCTCATAACCTAAGGGTGTGTCATGACCTTGAACCAAGGTCATTGGGGAAGTTCAAGGTCACTGGAAGAAAAATTCATAATTTGTGTACAGTCCATATCTTTCTTATGGATAAACTTGGTAGGTTCTCATTTTACACAAAGATTCCTCCTGACCTAAGGCTGTGTCATGACCTTGACCCAAAGTCATTTGGGGAAGTTCAAGGTCACTGGAAGAAAAATGTCAAATTCGTGTCTGGTCCATATCTTTCTTATGGATAAACATGGTAAGTTCTCATTTCACACAAAGATTGCTCATAACCTAAGGATGTGTCCTGACTTTGGGTCAAGGTCATTTGGGGAAGTTCAAGGTCACTGGAAGAAAAATTTTATAATTTGTGTTTGGTCCATAGCTTTCTTAACTATGGAAAAACTTGAATCTAATACTTCACTCAAACATTGCTTATGACCTGAGGTTGTGTTATGACTTTGAACCAAGGTCATTTATGCAAGTTCAAGGTCACTGACAGAAAAAGATCATAATTCGTGTCTGGTCCGTATATTTAGTCTAATTTTTTTTTATTAGGCTGCGCCTTCGTTTCATTTATAAAAAATATAATGAGCAATTACATTTGCACTAAAAATGTTTTAGCATTTCTCTCTTAGATCCATAAAATATTCATGATTTAGCACTTCTGAAAAATCCAGCGGGGGGTATTTTGTCCCGTTTGGACAGTTCAATGCTTCATTCTTTAAACTATTTTCCATTTGAAGTAATGCTATCGTTCTTGATGAAAATCAATGTTGGTAATTTTACAAAAAAAAATTGGAGAAATTTGGAGAATACAGATGGATATTTCACCTTAAAAGAGAACTATATTGAAAAGTTATCCTCTTTTTGATGCAGAATATACATGTACTAAGTCTTCATCAAATTCTGAAAATTAACAGAAATCTTTTTTAAGCTATGAGGACTATTATAATATCTATACTTTAGCAATTAAATTTTTATCTCTCTGATTTTGCGTGTTGCATGAGCTGAAATGTTGAACTTGTATTTTACACCATGTAAATGTTTGCAGCTGTAAAACAAGTGGGGGGTATAACAATGTGCAGGTCGCTGGCTCTCTCGGGGAGGTTGTACCATAACGAACCAGTAAACCAGAGTCCTGATTCTAGCGCTGAAATTTCCACTCCAATTTAACACGCAGTCCAAACCTAAAAATTCCCAATGTCAATATTAAGTATCGCAGGGTGTTGCACTCTTCCTACCTAAGGAATCTTAAATATTTCCTTAGTATATATGATGAAACGTGTCTAATCCGAAATGGATTTGGGGGAAAAAATGTATCGGAATTGGCAGGGTGTCGGATTACAACAGTCAAACAAACATGGAAAATTCTAAACTGAGAATTTAAATAAACTCCATCCAATGACAAGCCAAAGAGGGTAAACTTTTTCTCAAGCATGAAAAATCTATTTCGAGGGATGGGGGAGGCAAGGGTAGCCACTTCACCTCTGAGTATAACTGTTTCTACCACTTTTACAGGAATCGGTATTTTCAAGGAAGGATTGATGGGGATATGTTTTAGTTACTTCATTCAGTATGTACATTTCATAACTCTGCAAATGGCAGGGGGCCTGGACCTCCCCCCTGACTCCCCCTTTAAATCCGCGCATGGGGTCGATTTTTGTCGGCCGGGGGGGGGGGGGGGGGGGTCCAGGGTCGTTACTTTTACATACAACCTCTTTATCTCTAAAAATTCTGGAGGGGTCCCGACTTCCGATCCCCTCTATAGGTCAGGGCGAAACAAAATGCATGCAGAATAGATTTATCCTATCCTTCCTGTTACAATATGTATTACAGACATTCACAAATAAATTTGGGCGTGTTTATCGGAAAAAATAAAAGAAATCTATATTTGCAATCACTAATTAGATACCATTATAGATAGTGTAGTCGTCATATATTATTTCCAGAATTAATCTATCTAGAGAAGAGATCCACATATCTACTTGTATCTTATGATTTGATATAATTATTCTTGGGCTTTTGGAATAGTTTAAAAATTGAAATAAAAATCGACTTATATTATTCCTTTTTTTAGTGCATAAATGGATTAAGTTGCGAATCAGAAATAATGTCATCTCCACACCCATTGCGAAGCAATCCGATTGGCTAGCATGGTTTGAGAGTCCTTCAATACTGTTTAAGATGAAAGGTGTCATGCTGAATTGATTGTCCTGTATGTATCACAGGTCACAGGTGCTTGGGGACTGGACACCCCCCCCCCCCCGACATCTGTACCCTGAGGGTTCGTTGATTTTCTTTAAATAAAATATTTTTCTATGACCTATTCACAAGTCAGTATTACAACTTCTTGAGAAATCCAACTAAACCTTTAAACGAGCATTTTATTAAAATTCATACACTCCGATACTAAAACAGAACTTAATATTGAATTATTATTTATTCGTCCGTCTGTCTGACTGTCCGTCAGCGCTTTTGTTATAATGCTATAACCACAGGACTTTAGATCGCTTTGAAAAAATTTGAGGTGTTGAAAAATTTTTTTTTTTACACACAAAATTTATTTTAAGCGATCCAAAGGTCTAATTTTTCTATAAATAGATTATTAATGTGCATGAGAGATATAGAAAATTGCACTCTGCAATTTCTCTAATATTAAAAAATTGAAACTCTATATAAAACACATTTCAAATAAGCTTAAAAAAATCTTTGTTTGCAGTTGCCGACCTATATTTTTAGAGTGGGTCAATTGATAGGTATAATTTTTCTAAAAATAGATTTTATTTATTAAGTTTTTGTTGGTTTACAAATCAAAGAGATTTTCATAGGTTTACTTAATGTAAATAAAGCTCTACATCTTTTATGTCACTTACTGAGAGATTTTGAAACAAAAAATAGAAAATTGCACATGTTAAACAATTTTCAATATCCTAAAAAATTGAAACTCCCCCCCCCAAAAAAAATCTTTTCAAATAATGGCTGAAAAAAAGTTTGAGTCGGGTGTATTTTAGTGGGTCGGTAGGCAACTGCAAAGAAACCATATTTTTTAAATTTTAGGCCTGAAGTGCTTTGTACTGCATTTGATTTTGAACCTTGTTATATGAAATACAGTTCTCACTTTCCAATGACAATTTTTAACCCTCAACAGGACATAATTTCAAAATATCAAAAGGGAGATCCCAATATTGATTAAAACAATAAAACAATTAATCTAGATCCACGTGCCATACTTATAAATTTCATATGCCATCTCAACAGAATTTAACTACGATATTTTATAATACTTCATGTTATACGAAGTCATCGATTTTGTATAACATGAAATTACTAATAACGAAATAAACGTTTTTTATCAACTGATAAGGGTTTGTAAATTATAGAGTTCGCTGTAAAGCAAACATTCAGGTGACGCCGTGACCTTATCCGGCACGCGAGATTTGATAACAGGGAGTAACAGCCTGCTCGGTGTGTGTCTGTCTGTTTACCCAGCTGTCCCAGCGGGGGGACAAACGGGGGCAAATATCTCATAGACTGGATTAAACAAAAATGTTTTACTTGTTGACAGTACTCAATACATGACGGTACAGAGAGAGAGAGAGAGAGAGAGAGAGAGAGAGAGAGAGAGAGAGAGAGAGAGCTACTTTAACGTTGGCAACAGAGAAATGATTTTTTTGTGTGTTTTGTATCGTATCCAATTTATTCATCTTGTATTGTAATTTTTTTTTCATTTTAGGTATTTTTATTTTTAGTGTCTTCTATTAATTTTCCATCTGAAGTTGGGAGGGTTAATTTGTCATGTAATCATTTTCAACTTGAAAATTGATCAGATTGAAAATTAATAAAAGACAATATAGCAATAAATATGGTTTTATTTTTAACTGGGGCTAGAAACAAAATATATATTAGACATTGAATCTAATTAAAAATTAAAGTCTGTTGTTCCAAAACTTGATAACCAGGGTGAAAGGGAGCTAGGGAGGGAGGGGTTCCCGTTTCAACTTTTCACACAACAGTAAAGATACAGTTAAACCTCATGTTTATGCTCCCCCCCCCAACAATACCCCCCCCCCCCCCCCCGTGTGAGGCCAGACAGTGAAGGAGTGACCCCCCCCCGAGGAATGTATGTTAACTCGTATCACCTTACGTTACACATAAGTACATGTCCACCGTCGAACAAGTACTTGTTACGTCACAATAGAAAAACGTCACATCTTAGTAAAATATCAAGTGGTTTGATACAGTTTGGTTCATGTAACTTGGTACTGCTGAGGACTTATTGATAGACGTGCGAGACACTTTTTAACAAATAAAAAAATTAGCATATGGGAAAAAAAAATGGTAAAAGGACATTTAATAAATTATAAAAGCAAAGAACCGATTGAAATGATAAAGTTTTTTCCCTCTATGAAAATATTAATTTCAATTTTATTTTTAATATAAAAAAATCCAGCAAAGAAAAGTTCCTTTTATTTTCATCGCTTTTAAAGAAATGTTTATTATGACGTCACAATGAATAAAAGAAAATCGGCCACCGTCGAACAAGTACTTGTTATGTCACAATAGAAAAACGTCACATCTTAGTAAAATATCAAGTGGTTTGATACAGTTTGGTTTGTGTGTACATGTACATGTATTTGAAGATTTAATCTTTCATATATATAATTTTGAATGAGTAACTTATTATTGACATTAACCCCAGTCATGGGACAAAACAAATCGAAAGTTAAAATACACCGTTAACTGATTTTTTTAAAGTTCCCTTCGAGAATTTTTCACTCATATTGATTCTTTACCGCTTTGCTGGTGGAGGGCTGCAAATTTAGACCTGTACTCGGCTCCTTTGAACATTAATTTTTGGTGCCATAAGCAGCATCTATACTGCGACCTCAGTTTAAATTTTGATTTAAATGGTTTCATCCTCCCTTTCTTGCTGTATCATGCAAACTCTAGATTTGAAAGAAAAAACATATACTGAAAAGTTATATAGAGACCCCAACCCAACCCCGACGAGGTAGGATTCATAATGCCGAATCAGACGGTTTTACAACTCTCTCTTTCAAATATCTTCTCTCTCCTCCTCTCTCTCTCTCTTTTACATATATACTTTTTCTTGTCAACCTGAAGTATATTAAAAATATGCAAAAGGAGTAAATAAACAGAGTTAAAATCTAAAACGTATGTTCACTTATTCTTTTTTTTAAAATACAGATCTACATGAACAAATGGAATACTAGTACACTGTATAAATGTGAGAAACGGACAGAAAAATGTGTAAAACTGACAATTGTATCTGATGTAACTTCGCGGTAAATGTCCCGCTGCCTAATTTGAGATTTGTAGTGATGAGTCCCCGCCACCTCAATGTGTCTGTAAACTTCAGGGGGTGTGAAGTGTCGTGTATAGTACCCAGCCCCGTCCCCTGCGGTGAGGATAATACAAGACGAGTAGAGGTGTCGCGGGAAATGTACACAGATAATTACGCGACTTCTCCCGAGATGTCAGTTACAGATGTGGAAATATGTCATGTACATTTCAATTATTTGTCCGGTAATGCACAGATTATAGATGGCTAAATTAATTGTTCTGTGGAAATTTGTTAATCTTGGTATATTTGCACGAAACTTTTCTGAGGAACTGGGTGTACTTGTGAAGAAAAAGCCTATGACATAAAAAGCAATAACAAACACGAAACTGATCGAGCATCATATTTCAATGCAATATTTAAAACATATATATTTTAGTGTACATATGACCCCTTTTTTTCAACAGATGGGCATGAAAGAAATTAAATTGAATAAAACCACGGAGAATCATTTAAACTTTTTAGTATATGGAATTAAAAAAAAAAAGACCCTTATTTTATTTTGAAAGACAAATTACTGTAGGCCGTAATAAATCAGAAGATTATAAATAATTAATTGACTATACTGTTAGTTAGTCTGATTAAAATTAAAAAAAAAATATTTTGTAGGATGCTGTCCTAATGTATTTTTATATGACACAAAAATTATGCTTGTGACTAGATTAATTAATCTATTATTTTTAAAGATTTTTTTAAAAAGTTTGAAAAAGTTGTAATGTTTAGAACCGGGTATATATTTTAAAATGACTGGGAATTATACCGACTTCTCAAAAACAATACAGAAAACATTTCATGACCAAGTGCTCTTTTGATCTGATGAAAACATGAGCCGCATTACTCAGCATATTAAACAGAAAGCCATAAGAAATAGGTCCCTAAGATCAACAATTCAAAATCAATAACGATTATCTGATTCATGAAAATCATTTTATAATTTCATTTTAAATCATAAAAAAGTATCAGAAAGATTGAAAAAATAAAGGATAATTGCTTATTATTTTAAGGAGCATTACTTTGTTGGGCGCGGAGGGATATGTGTGAAGGGCGAATCACATACGCTGCTCGCGACAAAGGGATAGCGAAACATGTCAATCGTGGGGCTTTTGGGTAAATAAGGTATACACCAAGTAAGCGAAAAAAGTTGATGTTCTAGCGATAAAAGAGGTCTGGAATTTTTCTAGATCTCCAGGCAGTGAGTGGGAAATGTTAAATTCTGGCGGATTAACCGAAAGTAGCGAAGCTTGGCAGCAGAGGCGAGCAAGGTAAGATTTCCAAAACGTGTTCGGGACCTCTGAAGTCGGTCGCCATTTTGGCTGCTCAAAGAGTTGATAGTGTTACCAAAGATAGGTCTAGATAAGGCAATGTCTTTGTGTCATGTCGATCCGTCGCCCTAAAGTTTATCCAAGTCCAAAATTCGTTCTCAAAGCACCAAACAATACACTTAGTTTTCGTAAGATCCACTCTGAAAAACAACTCCATTATTCCAGAAAATTTTTATCACTCCATTGTTGCAGAGTAGAGAGAAAAAAGATAAGGTGCCAGAATTTTGAATCGTGTGTCCTCCTAACTTGGTGAACAGAGTTGTAATGGCTGTCTATAGGTCCTATAGCTTGACAGATGGTCTGGTCACAACTGTTGCTAGCAATACGTGTGTTTTCCCAGACTAGAGCCATCAGACACTAAACTTGGTCACATGAAAATTAACAGATGGAGTCTTCATAATGAAAATCAGTCCAATCTGTTTGCCCCCTTGATAAATCGGTACATGTGTTACGTTACACTATTTGTATATACGCTAAAAACACATGTGTGGAGCACATCTGCATTAGATGTCTGTTTAAAATTACCCCAACATGTGCAAGTTCCCACAATGTTTTTATTCATGCTTTTGCAAAATGTTACCATTCACCGATTTTCATTCAGAGCATCTAGTTTTCTTTTCATACCTGTTGGATGTACGTGGACTGACAGTATAACTAACTTGTACCAAATACCCCTAATGCAACAAAGCCAAAATCTACCTTGACTTGATCACTTCTTTGCAAATTTTCCATGTGCACTATTGAGCTAACATATACATACAGGTGCCTGTTACACAAAATTGTCTTGAACAAATGTGCATGTACTACATTTCACTTTTATTTTCCGATACTAGGTTTATGATTTGGTGATCACTGAAATGACTTAATCACACCTTCTGAAGAAAATTATTCAGCAGCAATGTTGTTGGGGGGGGGGGGGGATTACTGCATTGTTTTGCAGCTAAATATAGGCAGTTCTCTTTGGGAATTGTGTTAATTTTCCTCATAAACTGTCTATATTATTTGTCCCTGCATAGCAAATTTGTTAAGATTTCATTGTCTTCAAATTAAAAATCTTCCAAAAGAAATGAAATATCTGCCTTTGAATATGAAAGACAAGAATTGGAAGCAAAGTTTGTAAGATAACTCCCTGCCCTTTTACAAAGTATGATGTAAGAGTCAACCTATAGTACATATTTGTCAAAACACATGTTCTCCTTATTAACATGATTAAAATTCTGTTTACAGCCAAATAGAGTCAATGTCTCTTCTTTGTTTTCATTTGTTTTGTTGTCTGAATTCTCATGTGTACGAAAAACTTGCAGACAAACATTGTCTATTTCTAATACATAATGTATGTGCACAATAAAACAGTTCATTCTTAGAGATGTGTGATCAGTTTGTTGATGATCTTTTGAGGTCCAAAAAGTAGAAAGTACATTGCAGAGTTAAGTAGTGCTTGATGTGAAACTAGTTCATATGGCTTTGTTAAAATAAGGTTTAAAACAAAAAAATTCATTGTGAATAGCCTCAAATGGGGTGGGTGGGGATGTGTTAACTGCCCCCCCCCCCATGCATAACAAGTCCCATGTATTATATATCCAGTCATGCATGAATAACAAGTGTGGAATGCCTTGCTTCATTGATGTTTATTGTATATATCTAAGGACACTATTTCATATTAAAAAAAATGTCCCATCAACTTTCAAAGTACTGGAAAATTTCATGTATTAAATTTTCACAAGCGTTCAATCTTCAGATAATGTTAAATTCTTAGATCCCCTCCCATATACACCTGGCACATTATTTACAAAACCCCAACAATTCAACACTAATATACACACACCATTTGTGAAATTTCATTTTTTTTTTACAGGGTTCATTAAAATTCATGAAGAGAATTTTTTTTTTCTCTTTCTGAAAAAAATATAAAAGTGTCAACAAAACAATGCCCCTGTATTTACCTGGGGGAAGTCAATATTGTGTGTATTTTCTCTGGGTTATCTTGATCAGTGCAAACTGGACGTGTGAAATATTTGTCAGATAAAGATCTCCAGTAGAACTAGACCCTTAATCTGTGTTGTCATCTCAGTACAATAAATTTGGTGGTAGTAGGAATTTCTAGATTTGTAATCCCACATGCCAAATTCTTTTTTTTTTTGCCCCTCTTTCGCTTTTGTTGTTGTTGAATGTTTGTTTATTTTTTTTAAGTTGCATGTTTTAATGTTGTTGTTGTTGTTTGTTTTTTTTTTGAATCTTTCCTTCTGTTGTGCAGATTATGTTTTTGTTGCATATGTTGTTTATCTAGTTGTGAAATAAAAGTGCAAATTAATTTCATAAATATTGTACATAGTCCTGTGAAAAAAATTATTTACCTTTTTAGGCCAAAAAACCTTTATATATGTTTCTTTCTTTTTGCTTTCAAAATGTCTGACTCATTGTTAATAGGGGCAGGAGGGGGCAAATATAGCTCAACAGATTGATATCTGATGACTGGAAAGGGGACGGTGGGGATGGGTTCGTAGCCCCCCCCCCCCTTTATTTTTGTCTGTCTGTTAATTACACAAGTGCATATTGATGATAGCATACGAGAAACTTGATGCTTCTGTTTCATTTTATGAATGTAAACAAAAGAAAAAATTATTTTACGATGCTATCAAATCCCTTTGTATTAATCAATTCGACATCATTAACATAATATTCTGCAGTAACTGTTAATGAATGGGAAAAAAATGATAATATTTCATCTCATAAAAAAATTGCAGCATATATTTACAAATTAACTATCCTGGCCTGCAGATGGCATGAAAAGTTAGATCAGGGAGACAATTTAAAATTTCCAGCTAGAAAATGTGTTGCTTGTTTTTCCCTTTTTATTTTTCTTTGCATGTTTATTGTAATTTTTCTTTCTTGCATGTTTATAATTTTGATGGTTTATGTTTATATGTACAGTACAATCTGTTTCTATTGACGCCAAGGGCAGATGATAGCAAAATTGACACTTAGATCTAAATAAAAAAGAAACAAAAACAAAACTCATTAATCCAAAAGTATTTGATGACCATGATGACCATGGATATAAATTTTCAGTTTGGAGACAATCTCTTAGATTTTATTTTTCATCCTGGAGCAAAACAGATTATTTGGCCTGACTTTATTTCGATGTTTTTTAAGTTATTGTCGATTTGTCACTGGTGTTGTGAGAAAACACAGAGTCGTACCCCTTTATGAAATACTTTTTCGGCAATGGTTTAGGGTCATTGTAATCCACAAAGAACTTTGAACTGATATCCTGACTTAACTTAAAAGCAGGATGGGTATCGCCAAAAATTTCGTATCGCGATATATCACAATTTTTTCCCACAATATCATGATAATATCATGATATTTTTAAAAGCAGTTTTTAAAATGATTTTATATGAAAAGTCATTATTTTTCTAAAAAATATGCTAGAAAACAAAATTTTACTTTCTTGAAATTTTTATGTACAATATATAAAATCAATTATGTTTGGACCGTAAGATGCCGTTTTTTTCACTTTTTACAACATTTTTTATACTTTCTGTAATTGTAATTTGAAAGATTGAACAAATAAATGAATAATTTCTGGACATTATAGTATGTACCTAAAGACCGGTATTTAGGTCTCCGTATCACGATACGTATCACGCAACAAAAAATCGCGATATACCGGTATACCGATAAAATTGCACATCCCTATTAAAAGCAGGATGTTCTTTATACAGGGTCTTGAAGATACAGGTTGAACTGTATATATGCAAAAATGGTCACCAAAGAAAGAATTCCAAATGTGCCCAATTTTCATTCAGTCCATCATAGCGAAAAGATTATTTCATAAAAAAATAAAATGTAAAGATACTGAACAGAAAATATATATTGGAAAAAAATTCCACCTAAATGTTGCACAAAAAACCCACATATTGGACTGGGAAAATATACTAAACGAAAAAGTTTATTAATAATTTTTAAAATTGGATTTTTTTTTCTTGGTGACACCTATCTCTTTTTAATTTTGTTTTTTCTCTTCTGTTTGCTTTTGTTTTGCATGCCTACTCCTACCTTTTGTTTTCACGTCTGTCGTTTCAGGTATAACCCCAGCGGTGAGGGGATGAATTCCCCGCCCGGTGTCTCGTTTTTCAGGGAGGGACCCCCCAGCATGCTCCCTAACGTTTATACCTCTCCTCCTCGCTCGTCTAATGCAACGTTTTATCAGCATCACCGATTCCCACCGCAGCCACCACAATACGGCTCCCAGCATGGGGGGCCGCGACAAGCACCGCCCAATGTTACTGTTGATACGGTTAGTATAACGTCTTTGTTTGGTCTCTGTTTTACAGGTCGTTTAGCGGCGCCATGAATGACCCCAATACCCCCCATGGAACGTTTGGGGATAGGATGAATATGCATTCGGATAAGGAGCTTTCCGATCTGTTAGATTTCAGTGCGGTAAGTTTGTCGGTGTTGTCAAAATTTCAGGTACTGCGAAGGTAAGACACCGTTACACTGTTACATTCCCAGGAACTTGAGGGTCGTCACAAGAGTTACTAGTTTTTATTATTGAAGATTCCAGTTAACTAGCACCCCCCTCCCCCCTCCACCCCCATCCCCAAACTTCACGAAAGAAAGACTTAAAACTGAAGTTGTGTCATTGTAAGGAATTCAATAGACAACCTTCATCATCCATTTGAAGTATGCATAAGACCTGGGGGTGCCATGGAATCCTGCCCTCACCCCACATAAATTATAATGATGTAATCCCCCAGTTCTTACGATATTGCCTCCTCATCAACCCTCACTAGGGGAAGGAACCCATGGACAAGACACCCAACTTTTCTTAAAATGTCCCCTTCTATTGCAATTCTTATTGTTCTGAACAATCCTGTATCTTACAAAGCTGAAGATGACTTCTGTCATGTACGACCTTAAATTTAACGTTTTATTTATTTATTGCTTATTAATCTACTTCTTACCGATTGGTCAATTCATGTTTATCAAGAATTTTCTTTATTTCAAGACAAGAGGAATTATGTAATCTTGCTCTATTTTTTTTTTGAATAAAAACATTCTAAAATTGTGGGAAATATTACATTGGGGAAAGTATTCTCAAAGACAGGTAAGAGAAAAAAAAAACAAGCAAATGTATTAAGTTTATAATATGTTTTATAAATATTTTTTTCTTTCTCACTGCAAATGCAATCCCTATAAAAATTTTGAAGCTTTATGCAAATGATAACATTTAAAAGTTGGGAGTTTCTAAATATATATATATGCTAATGTGCTAAGTGTAACACAAAATATTATTTCTAAAAAAAAAATTGAGACAAAGAAAAAGCAGGTTAGGTTAAATGCACTAAATTCCCCCATGTTATGTACCAAAAGACTATATTGGTAATAACGAGCTAGAATACTAGGTGTAATATAAGACTATAGGTATGCTAGGAGTGTATTTATGTATGTGCGAGTGTATGTGAATTTAATGAAGTATGCAATAATAAGGCCGCTCAAAGAATGCCCAGAGAGATTGGTATTGAAAGTGGTGTGAACCGATCGCACACTTCAAATAAGATTAGCTTTGTGTGGGTAAAATCAGGCAGAAAAATCAGTCCTACTGTTGATTTTAAGTCTCTCAAGGTGTGATAATCCAGCCAAATCTGTTTTACGCTAAGTACTGTAATTCATTACTGTGTAATCTAGCCGTAATCTCGTTTGATGAAGATTTTTTTATACCCCCTTTTTCTTTTGTCCAATGGCTGGAGAGAATATATTTTTTTTTAAATATTTGACAAAGGGATCATGGGATTTAAGAGTAAATCAGGTTAAAATCGGAAATTTTAAGAAACCCACAAATTAGCTACAGGGAAATTTTTTTTGGAAAGAAAAAAATTGGGGTTGATGGAAGAAGGCTTATAGGAAATTTTGAAAGTAGATTGCATATAAATGAACTGAAGAAAGGGGGTTTAATGACATTCGCTTTTGATGTTCAAATATTTGTAGAATTGAGAAAGAATGATTTTAAAATTGCGGGGTAATTTTCTGTTGTTGTAGGTAGGTCAGTGAATATAAAGGTAGGGTCCCTCATTCTTATGGGAGTTCAGACCGAAGAAATGTTCCACATGCAATTACTTCTGTATTATAAACTCCACTAATTTTATGGCCTTTTTAAGTAGAAATTCATGCCTGAATGAACATCCTAGGCAACAGCTGTTCCCTACTCAGCTTTCATACAAAAAAAAAAAAAGAGTCGGGGGTTACTGACGACAAAGGTCAAACCTAATGTAGTTCCATGTATAGGTAAGAATTTTGAAAAGAAAGAAAAACTGAAAAAAAAATTAAGATAAGTTGTTTTGTTTTTTAGGCTGTCCATGAATTTGTAATTATTAAAAGCAGAAATCATAGAAGATTTTAGAAAAAAAAAAATAGAGATTGAAATGGCAAATTTAAAGGTGCTCTGTGAAAAGTTTACCTGTGTAAAGGTAACACAAGAACTGTCATTTAAAGTCTTGTCAGTGTTTAGGTTGGAGATTAGGGCATGAGATTGTTAAATTTGAGCAGCTGTTAGCCTGAGACATGGGTGCCCCCCTCAGTACACACTGGTGAAAGAAATCTGTTTGGACTGTAGAGATTGTGTTATTATAGGGGGGTCTATTATGCATAAAGGGAAGCGGTGGTTTAAAACAATAGGGCTTTCTTGGAAAATTTCTTGCAAATTAAGGCTGTATAACCCGTGGTTTTTAGGGGTTTTTTTTTTAGGGTAAAATTTTCTTAAAAAAAAAAATTCATAGAAAAAGTGGGAGGGGTGCTTGCTGTGATATTATTGGCAAAATCCTGGATATATTAATATCCTTGATGCCAGACTTTTGTCTAGCATTATTTTTTCCAAGTTGCAAGATTTTGCATATTATTGTGTGTTTGTACATGTTTAGTTTCTTTGAAAAATAGATGTTATAAAGTCATTATAACAGTAGAATACTTAAAACACATTTTAAAAATTAATATGAGCAAAGAAACATTTATTTAAAAATAGATTTTTTTCTCTCTCTGATAGGGATTGGCAATTCTTTTTAAAATTAAAAGCTTTTTTTGGAATGCATAACAAAATAAAATGTAAAAAAAAAAATAATAAAAAGCCTCTTATTCGACTTATATCAAGAATCAAAAATGGGACCATAATGTAGTAAGAGTTGAAACAAGGTCAGGGAAAAAATCATGAATGAAATGGTTGTGTATTGAATAGGAACACATTGCAGCAGTACACATTCCTTAGATATCAATCCAATCAATAATTCCCCCCTCAGTGTGGGAAGCACCTGTTGTCCATAACAACCAGATGGTGGCTCCTGACAGGGCCACCAGGTGGCCTCACCCTCCAAGGTCACGCCAGTGTTTGGCAGACTAGGGCTCAGCCAGTGATAAGTGGGAGCAGATGACAGACTGTGTCAGAATGGTGCTTGTAATCCATCTGTGAAGGGAAAACAGAAGTGAAAACATGAAACAACCTTCAGCATTAGAGAGTTATAGAATGGAGATCTCTTGCTGCAGAGGGAATACTGTGTTATGCTCTCTTTGTGATTAATCCTTTAAGAGTTTATCTAAAATTATGCAAAAGTCACTCAAAATGTGTGCTTCTGTACATGTGGCCTTGACCTTGTAGGGAATTGAAGATGAACTTTTCTCTGTGACAAAGAGATTATTTGACAAACTGATGGTCTTCCAGAAAAGACGCTTCTTCAAAATTAATTGCCAAGAAGAAACTTTAAAGAGATGAAGACTGGTTCTTCTGGAAAAGGAACAACAGATGTATGAACTGATGATTTTTAAAGACAATTTATGTTTTCTAGGTCAGCTCACAAAAATGAGGTTTTAAAGAGATGAAAATATAATGCTACTTATTCAGATCCAAGAAGGAAAAAGTGCAAACTAAGCCAATTAAATTTAAATTAAAAGAATATGCACAAACTTCCCTGATAGAATTTCCATTGATTGAAAGTCAGGAAAAGAAATTGTACAACTCTTGTGCTGAAAGTACTTGATAAAAGAAAGTACTTAAACTTAAATTATGTAATTTCCATTTCTTCTACTTAATCTTTGATCTTGTTGTAAAAAAAATGTACAAGATGAGCAAATTGTTCTTTTTTTTGTTTTGTTCTTTAAATTAAACAGCCTTTTCCTTTTTGGAATCCCATTGATTAAAAATCCGGAAAAAAAGATTAATGCAGCAAGTGCCCTTCTTGATCTGAAAGTGCTGGAGGTATAAAGACTAAGTTCTTTGTTTTCTAATTCCAACTTTATCCTTGAGCCTGCTGCGAAAAGAAAAAAAAAAGGAAAACGAAAAAAAAACCTTAACTGTGAATTAAATATATTGGTTAGCTGCGAGAGCTTGGGGGTAGGAAATCGCATAGCGTCAGGTATAGAGAGTTGATTACGAGAGAAAGTCAGCCACCAGATGAGGACGTGTGTTGATTACGGAGAGGTTGGTGAACTCTCTACATAAAGATTATGATGGAGACCAAGCACTGATTGAAGGGGATCAATGATTCCTATGGCCAAGCTTTAGTGGTGGATCTAGGTTTTTTTGTAAGTAAAGATGATGGACTCAAAACATTGATTGAAGGGATCAATGATTCTCTTTGCCAAGATTGAACAGTAACTTCAGTGGTGGATCTAGGATTTCTTCTTAGTAAGGATGATGGACCAAACACTGATTGAAGGGGATCTGATCAGTGATTCCTATGTCCAAGACTAGAGAATGACGTTAGTGGTGGATGTAGAATTTTTCGGGAATCTCCTGCTACACTTAAGCATTGGTTTGCTAAACCTCTTTGATGACTATTATGGCCAAGATTGTTCAATATCTTTAGTGGCAGATCTAGAATTCTGTTAAGAGAAGGGCCCATCAAGCTTGATACCTAGGGGCTACCCTTTAAGGACCCTCCACCTCAAGTCCATCCCCAGGAGGTCCAGATGAAAGCTCAGGTCAGGGGTTTTGGGGTGTAACACACTTTTATGTTGATCAGTCAAAAGGAATCTTTGAAAAAAAATACCCAATAGATTCTACAGTGTGAAGGGAATTTTAGGCTTTTCCAGGTAGAAAAGTCTAAAAATAAACACAAAATATGATTATTAATATTATGTCGTAAATGGATCTTGATTGAATATTGCATATTATAGGCGTAAAGAAATTAGAAAAGTACTCGCTAAATAGATTAAATTAACTGAAAACCACACCTTAGCCAATTATATATATAGTCTTACATTCAATTACCTCAACTTGTATTAATTTGATAGGTTTAAGATTTTTGTCATTAGACGCTGATATCATTGCTTGATTCGTTGATCAGTCCTTGTTAGGGCGAACATGTTTTGGTGGGTTTTTACGAGAGTCACAGATGAATGGTAGTTAGTACGGACTTATCTCTCAGTGACTGGTTCCCCCTTGACCGTTAATGACCAGTTTATGGTTGAGCTGTCAGTTGTTAGGTTGTTCATCATAGGCAATAAGAACCCACACAGAGTTGTTTTACATGTTGTCAAATTGACTTGGTAATAAAGAAAGTTTGATCACATTTTGACATAAAATGTTAAAAAAAAAAAAATAAAAGGGGTGGGGGTAAATGAATTTACAAATAAAAAACAAAGTGAATTAGTCCAGAAATTACCCTCCTTATAAAACTGTCTGGGTTGTAGAGAAAATTTTGTCATATAATTACAGAAAAATATTTTGTTAATACCAGGGTATATAATGGTAAGTTTAAATTAGATATGATATGTTATACAGTGTAGTATTATTTGGGGGAGGGGTTGGGGGTTGGGGTTGGAGAAAGTATGCAAGAGATTTAGGCTTTTAGCCATGTCAGTTTTCAAATGGTGGCAAATTGTGGAAAAAGAAATTTAACAAGTTGGTTTTTGATGGGTGACAGTATGGATGCATGGGTTACAAGATAAAAGGGAGAGAAATTCTGGGTAAGAATTGGGAAAGAAAATCTTGAAAGAAAACACATCACAGATTAATTTTATTGATAAGTAACTGTAATTACTAGACTTAAGTAATGATCTTTGTTCAATTAGCAACACCTGTCATGTTTTGATTATACTTCAATGGGTGAAAAAAAAAGTGACTTGAAAAATGTGGAAAACATTATTAACTATCAAAGGTTTTTAATTCAGGAGACTTTTCGATGATTTTCATAAATGACTTTAAATTCTGATTTTGAACACTTCAAATACAACATGAAGCTATATAGGGATAAAACATCAAAACTGCTTGATTTCACAATTGAAATTCTGATTTATCATCAAATTAGTGCTTCAAAAGCAAACAGGACCTACATGTATATAACAAAATGCCATGTTTACATGTAAATATTATTGTGCAAGTCATTGAGATTTTGATTGACAGGGACAGCTGAACGTCTTATTATAAATTACATCAAATTGACTATCGTGCTTTATACACATGTATTATTTCCTTTTTCCTATGTTTTATTCATTCTTCATCCTTTTTGCAAATTTGAAACCAAAAAAAATCATTTTTTTCCCCAAGCTAAATCAAAAATTTTGGGCAGGGTTTTAAAATGTTTTCATGGGTAAGTAATATGATTATTTTACAATGAAGCTATATTTATTGCAGTTTACATTGTGCTGTTTTTAGTTATATTATTGAGAATCATTGTGGAATATTGAATTTAAAATTTTTTTTTCTTTGAACAGATGTTTTCACCTCCGGTTGGATCAAATGCTGTGATGAAGAACAACCCCCAACAGAATAACCAAAACATGGAATTCGGATTCAAACCAGGTACCTCTTTCTTTTGTGTCAGTCGGTGTGAAGGTGTACAATTAAGTTGTTCATGTTTCAAAAGAATGAAATTGGGTTCAAATCAGGTACCTCTTTCTTAAGTGTCAGTTGATGTGAAGGTGTTCTAATCAGTTCATGTTCACATCAGCAAATGAAATTGGGAAGTGTTCATGTCATATTGTTTATGTTCAAAATCTTTTGAGTGTGTAGAGGACTTAGTCAATTAGCAATCGGGAGCTGATATCAGTATTTTACTTATACAGAAATCTTGAATCTGTTTAAAAAAGCTGACGTTATTGGATTAAATTCATGAAACTTTTTTGTAAATTAAAAAATCTCGAAAAGTTGAAGAATACGACCCTTATTCCTTCCCTCTTGTGACACCCAAGCTGCATCCACCCCGATGGGATCTTATATGTTAATAATATAGCATCTTCTTTGACCCCTTGATTAATCAGATACAAAATAAAACAGAAAAATTTTACCAAAGATAAAAAAATTCTCTTTATGGATTGAGGAAGCTGGTGGTTTATCACAAAATAATACACTATACACTCTGTGGATTGTAGAAGCCCTGATGCTCATGTATACTTATAGTGAAAAAAAGTCATGCTTTCTGCTGCAGTGGGGAGAGTTTGCTGGTTTCATGTTACAAGCCCCTGTAACTCTGTGCACTGATGTAAGAGAGGGCTCAGTGTTAGGTACATCAATACATTAATTTTGGCTGAATGTGGGAAGGTGCCAAAAATATCGCACTGTGTGTATCGCACTGTGTGACGGTGCACTCTGCAATGCCATAGTTTTAGCTGCTCTTTATTGCACCGAATGTTTTGTGGATTTGTTAAAAATAAAAAATATATGTTTGATGGATATAAATATGTATTGTTGTTGTTCCCAAATATTTTGGACCAGTTAAAGAAGACAAAATGACATTTAAAAATTTCGGAAAAGGCGTTTCAATCTTTATCTGAAGGTCCACTGTAAATATAGATTGTGTTGTGAAAAATTTTGGAATTCGGTTTCAAGTTTCTGCTTTATTTTTTGAAGCAAACACCTCCCTAGAAAACAAAGAACAAAATATGAATCACACTTGATGACTAATAAATTGGTCACAGAAACTTTAAATTTTGAAATTCATGTGGAGGATCCAAAATTTTTTAAATTTTTTTTTCATGGAAATTTCACCCATTACATCCCATTGGGTGGCCTTGAAATGCTTTTAGTGCAGAAAAGTTGCAGTCCAAATGACACAAAAATTAGGATGCATGTTTTGACAAAATTTATGATGATATGTAGTGGTGAGACCAGCGACATTGTTCCAGTAAAATTTTATGAGCATGGAATTGTATTTTGAGACAAAAAAGGGGGGCAGATGTGTTGTAATGATAAATGATAGAGTGTTGACAGCAATAAATTTGTTAGTTGTAAAGGGGCTTATGTAAACGTCATTAATTACAACACAAAATTTCAAGGTGCTGATTTATTGCAACCCATGTTAATGGGCCCACTTTTAAAAGTTGACCCAAATTAAGGATCTACACAAGTATTAGATTTCCTGTATATACATATTTAGCTTAAAAGGATTCAAGTGAAATGTTTAAGTATTCTTGTAAAAAATATATATATATTTAAGGTTAACTTGTAAAGCTCTGTCAGGAATGACCTAATGCTTTATTACAGAGTCTCGTAAAGGTCAAGGGTCAAACTTTGTGTAGTCCGGTGTCCTGGCAGTTTTTATCTCCATTGGCTCTTTCTGTTCATTTAACACCTGTCTAATGTAAACAAACCCTCCCGTATGTGTGTGTACGTGTGAAGTGAGGGCCCTTCTCCTCCTGATAAACGGGGGATCCAGCTACCTGTGTGTGTAAAAGGGAAGGGGGAGGGAGATTTACCTTTTACATGTAGCCTATAGCTTGTATCGAGGTGTCATATATATACATTCCCAAAAACCGTCCCATTATTTGCCAAGCCTATCTTAGTGTATGTATAGAATTAGGGATTAGGGAATGCTCGTAGATCCGTCAAATTCACACCATTGATAATGTCCAGGTAGACCTACTTTACAGAGGTGAAGATTTTGACAGGGCTTTAAATTGATTTTAGAGGTGTGTATGTGTATATTCAGGAGAAAAAAAGGAGCTTTTGATGGAGGGAAAAACTGTGTTAAATAAATATTTACTGGAAGTTGGATTTTTACAATTTGTTCTATTCATTAGGAAAAATCTTGTTTTTTAATAAAAAGTTAATTGATTTTTTTTTTTGAGAAGTTTGAAAATATAATGAATATTTTTATAGACCTCGCATAAGGAGTTAACAAAAAGATTTTCAGTCATCATACATCAAAAAACTCCACTGCTTTAAAAAATGTTTTGAGGTACTGCAGTTTTACTGTAAATATTTTTAATGTAAATTTAAAAAAAGACAACAACAAAATTTTCTCCATGGATTCTCATTCAAGGTCATCAAAAGCCAAAAAATAAGTTAATGAAATATTCTTGAAAATCTAAAATTGATAAGTAATTAATCAAATAATTAACACATTTATCAACTAACAAAAAGCAGCCAATGTCTTGCAGTCTGTTTAGCTTCCTCATCAAGTAGCTGTTTGTAGGAAGCTCCTCAGCTGAGAGAGAGAGAACCGTTTATTGATTCTAATGCGATGTGTGCCTTTTGCAAGGCTATAAAATGGCCTGATTTCCAACCCTGAGGTCAATTAGGACAAACATGGTAATTAGCAGGAGCAACGGCAGATAATACAATCTCTGGTGTTGGGATTTGGGGGTGATTTAATAAAGAATTTGTTTTGGAAGGGGTGAGGAAATTTAGTGTATTGGATCCAAAAATAAAAAAGAGACAAAAGATATAGCACTGCATGAAGTTGTAATTAGCTTTTGAAAGGAACAAGTTGATTTTTTCCCCATAAAATTCCATCTTGTTAGTTGAACAAAACAAAAAAAAAAACAAAAAAAAAACAACAACAACAACAACAAAACAAAAATAAAACAATAATAATCCAAAACCAAAAACAGAAAACCAAAACAAACAAGCATAAAAAAAAAAAATCAGAATGCTTAAAAAAAGATTACGGAGAGAAAAAAATGACATGGACAAACATACATGGATATTCAGAAAAGAGAAAGGACAAAAAAGTTATATATATGAATGAAGAATATTTGTGAAGGATTGACAAGAATTCTAATGAGGTGTCATATTTATCACATAAAGAGCTCTCAGATCTACACTTTCCTGCAGTGAAATGAGGAATAAATAACGCATCGGAGAAGGGGGGCGATGGAATATGTCCCAGATCGGTCAGAACTTTGTAGTAGGTCCAATAATAATTCTCCATTTCTGGTTTATTTATTCTTATATGGTTCAAATAAATCAGGAACCTGTGTTACGCATTCATGGTCAAAATTGGCCAAAATTGTCGGTGACCCTTTGATGTGTATATGGACCTAACACAGAACGCTAATTATGACAGTATAAAGATGTCACACTAAACTTGGAAGAGTGAAGTGAAGGGGGGCTAGCATGAAAGATTTGTGAATGTAGAGGCATTGCGTAGTAGTATTGCTGATTGGAATTCACCTAGTAAATGAACGCACCTCAAGTTTATTTGTGGACTTGTATGTACATTCATAAAAGTGGTGATTCCTTTGTAAAGGGTCTTAGTTTTGTGTTGTTTGTTTGTGTGTTAAGTTGTTGTTTGGAAAATTGAAAAGTTGGAACTTTTTTGGTTCATGGATAGATCTGTTATGTTTGGGGAATATGACTTTGGTATGTTTCTTTAATTCCAATACTAGTAATTAGCTGTAGTAGTAATTTTAACCTTATATTCTTTAGTTTCCTTTTCCATTTAATTTTATTTGAAATGATGATAATCATTTAGTGATTTTCATTAGTGGTAGTTTCGTTAGTGGTAACGAGATTAACGCTTTTGGGAATGTAGCTATGTCAGGAAGATAGCCTCAAAAAATTTTTTTTAAAAAAGTCAACTGCACAGATTTAGCTGATTTTCCATGATTAGTTTGTAGTAACGAGATTAACGTTTTGTGCTTTTTTTGTAGGATTAGATGAAGGCTCGTGGAATTCCAATAACCCTCCAGGCTCCTTTGACAGACAGGTAAGTGTTAACTTACAGACATTTTATATAACTGTTGAAAGACAGTTAACCTTAAATAGCAGGGAATAGTTACATACTAAAGACCCATACAAGCATTAGATATCAGTGTTCAAGATACCTAGGTTCAACTGCTTATGAAATGCAATATAAATTTCCTCAAGAAACTGCCACAAACGAAGGAAAAAAAAGGCTGCTTTTTAAAATGTTGAAAAAATATTGCTGTTTGCTTAAAATTATAATGTCCAAGTACGTTACAACATGTAAACATGATACTTTTTCTGTTTTAGATGTATGACCAAAACTTCAACGGCCAAACTGACAACATGCACCCTTTCTCCAACGAAGTTCCAAACTTAATCAATAGTGAGTACACCTGTATTTCTGATGCCTTTCTTTATTATATAATTTAGAGCCTTTAGTTCCTATGCTTTTCGCTCAACCTGTAGATCACACTTTTGAAACAGTCTGTTTACGAGAGATATAGTTTATTTGGTATTTTCAAGCAAGACAAAATTTTAACAATTTCTGAATCTTTTTTTGTGAACACAGGTATTGCTTTAATGACTTCCTTTTCCTAAGTTTTTATGACTTTTCAGACCCATAGGTTAGTGAGGAATGAGGCAACGTCCAATTCTCAAATTTGTTGTTGTTTTTCAGGCAAGACCCAAGATATGCCTTACAGGACACCTATACCTGGTTCTCAGGTGAGTGTTATTTTCTACTTAAAATAAAATCAATGTTTAGAGTGAATCCATGATTCTTTAATACAGTGTAGTGGTGTACAGAAAATTCAAGTCTCTTGACCATTATAACTGCAAAATCTGACAAGAACCTTTAGTTAGATCTTCATTTTCATTTGAGGTTTTAAAGAAGAAATGTAATTATGGGTGAATTTTTTTTTTTTTAAGAAATCACAGATTTTAGGGACAGTTGAATCCTTTTGACATGAATTGAGAAGACTTTGAAAGTAATAGCTCTAGCTGTTTCTTATGTACTCCCTCCCACCCCAAGTAATATAAATGTAAGGCAAACAAGGTTTTTGAGAACAGAAATGCCTAAAATCTTGGAAGAAAGGCCAAATATTTATTCTTCTTATAAGTAGATAAAGTGATGTCACATCTGGCTTAAAATGGTGATTAGTTCAACATAGCTTTAGTAGCAGAATTTGATTTTTCAGTTATTACATATTTAGCCTGAGTAGGCTTGGTAAGCAGATTCTGCCCTACATAGTCTTTACTCTTTAACGTCCCCCATCACAACAACAAAGATAAGACCACTGTCCTTGGTTACTGCTATAAGGAGGCCAGCTAGGACAATACCTAGCAGCTAGGACCGGTTAATTGATTCGCTGAGATATAACAAGTTTGTATTTGTGAACTCGGCGGGAAGGCTGTGAGATCAGAAATCCCTGTCATGGCCAGACCCCGCTCTTCATTATCTGAAGGAAGAAAAAGTCAATGGCTGAAGATGGTATAGGTTTCTTTTGTTGTATGAAATCAAGTGTTTAATGGTGATTTTGGCCTCAGGGCAGCATCAAGTTCTTTTTTCTTTTCTATTTTGGTAGAAAATCAGAATGGATGTTTTGAGAAAGAAAAAATTATTGTCTGTATGAGGTGAAAGTATGGTTCAATATTCTGCTTCTTTTTCCCTTGAGATATGTAGTAGACGTTTTAGAGTCCAGAAAAAAAGTGTCAAGTGCTGAATTTTAGTCAAGTGCTGAATTTTAAAAAAAATTGTGAGCCCTATACCCTGTGTTTTGGTTGCAATGAATTTTGAATTAGAAATTTTTTTTCTGGATTTCAAATTACAATTTACATATTTGGGTAGTAATGTAAATAACAAATTTTTTTGTTAAAAGTGAAATTTTTCCTTAATCATTAGCTCTCTAAAGCAAGTGAGAAACATCAGTCCTATTTCTCTGTTAACCCTGTATTTTGCCTGGAGGTGATAGCTGTACACAGACTGTGTTTTCCCAAAGACTCTTGGGAATCGGAATGCTAATCAAATTCTCCAATTTTCTCTCCTTTTCTTGTAAGGTTTATCAAACAATAAAGCCCCAGAGGAGAGCGATTTTTTTCTTGCTATCATATAAAAAACTGTGATATTTAGATATTTTCCTAAATGCACCATTGAAGCTTGAGAATATGTTTTAATGAGTATGGTTCATATATGTTGCTATATGCAGTTGAATCAAACCCCCAACCCCCTCCTTCACCTCACAAAGTTGTCTTCCATGACCTGGGTCCAATAGAAAAATCATCTTTTAATTGCGCTTTGTTCTTTAGAATGAGAGCTTTTGTAGTAAAATTAGTAATTCATTTGATTGGATTATTTACATTTAACAAAAACTTTGAGGTTATAGCTTCGTTTTTTGCAAAGAGAGGTAAAGCATTAGTTGAAATTTCTGTCTCCGTAAAAATTTGTTTGGCTGGGGAAAAGAACAGGTGTCCTTTCAATGTATTGTTTTGTGCGGTTCATTGTATCTGCAATCAGATTTTTCATCCAATTCCATTATTAATGAACTCCTAAATCTGGTGATAAGTTTACCCCCCTGGTACACCTATTAGATAAATTTCTTTATGAACAAAAAAATTTGAAAGGAATGGAGACACACAGTAGGCCTATGTGAAGAATTTCTCTTACTGATGTGTTAAGTATTTGGACAAAGATTAGTGTTTTACTACATACAGGCAAAGACTTGGGAACAAAGATATCTTGCTTTATTGCAAGGTCTCAGAAACAATGATATATTTTTGCTTTATTTCAAAGTCTCGGAAACAACTATATATTTTTGCTTTATTGCAAAGTCTCGAAAACAACGATTTTTGCAAAATCTCAGAAATAACGATATATTTTTTCTATATTGCAAAGAGAGAGAGAAAAGGATAATATAATTTGTCCTTTGAAAAAAAAAATAAATAAATAACGGATGAAAATAAAAATAATTAATTAATTTCTATGTCTTGGTTTGCAGGATGGTTAAAGTTTAATGAATAGAACCTTTTAGAGGAAGAAAATAATGAGAAAAATATTTTCTTTTCAAAAATTTCTCTTGATTTATAGAATTTTAAAGAAAAATAATATAAATTAATGAAATCTTTACATCGTAAAGAAAAAAAAGGAATGGAATAAGGCCATAATAAATAAATTGCTAGATTCTCATCGGAATTTTCTAAAAAATCGAGGCGGGCGGGCGGCTTTTATTTTATATTTTTTATTTTTTCAATTTTGCAGATTTTTTATTGACTTGGTCAATCGGTGTAATTTTATCTATAATACCCGAATAAAAGTCATAGTAAAGGTTTAATTATCTCTTACTTCACATCATCACCGATCTTTTTCAACCAATGACCCTTGTTTAAAATATACACGCATGTATTATAGCAATTACCATCTTTTCAGCTGTCAAAATCATGTCGACTTTCGCGGGATTTAAAACGAAAGTTGAGTGGTAATAAAGCAATTAAGACAAAGAAAAACAGAAATAAAAAAAAAATTGAGGCGGGGGTAAAAAAATCGGGGCGGGCGGGGATGAGAATCTAGGAATATCTTTATTATGGCCTAAAGCATTGTATACAATCATGAGAAAAAAACGTCAATTTCTGTAGTGGCTGCTCACTTGGCTGGTGTGAGATTTATTGTAGCATTTGACATGTAGAACAAAACCCATGGCCGAGCTCAGGTGTCGTTACAGGTAAATTAATTAGATGAGGAGATAAGACGCGCACCTGAGCCCACCTGTGATAGGTAGATAAGAGCAGGGGATGGGGAGAGATCGTAAGGGGGGTTCTGGTGCGAGATGATAGAGAGAAGATCATGGCGATTGGAAACGCCAGGGCTTTTCTTTAAATTTATTTTCCGTTTGGTGAATACAAATGTTTAATTGGCATTAATGATGATTGCTCAGGGTAATTAAATATCGGGGCTAAATCATTAAGTGTGTAATGGTTAACGAGTCAATTAAATCACTATATCGTTAGGGCTGTTTCAAAAGAGAAAAAGATGTTTTTGTTTTGGAAAGGTGTTAGATTTTTGTTTGATGAGAAAAAATGGTAATAAGGTTTGGGTGAGATTTTGCATGTTACATGTATATGCAAATTTGTTACCTATTTGTCAACATTGAGGACTGTGGTTGATAAGATTTAAAAGTATGTGGAAGATATTAACTCAGATCAAGTGTTTAATGCATATGTCTAACGTTATTGAAGTTCACCAAGATTTCCAAGAAATTAATGTGATATTGAGTTCAGAAAAGTCAAAGCCAAGAAAAATTACTCTAATACCAAAAATAAAACAATGAAAGGTTAAATGAAAATATGAAAAAAATTGAGATTTTCTATGATGAAAAATAAACTTTTAAAGGAAAAAAATAGAATAATTAGAAAAATGTTAGCCATGGTAATGAGTCAATCTTGCTTTTTTCTGAGTAGGGCATCGCTCTTTGAAAACTTGTTTGTCTTACAATTCAAGGTTCTTCCTGCATTGCCATGAGGTAACGCTGATGTAATAACGATGGAAATCGTATCTTGTAATGCTCTAAGATCAGATTTAATAGCCCTCCTTTTATTGGGATTAGTGAAAAAAAACAAGGTTTCCGCGCGACAAATTTAGCCTGAATTTTTTTTTTTATTTATTCATTGCAAGAGAGTTGAAGGCAGAACAATGTTTATAGGTAATGGAATGGCGATTGTTAAAAGAAAAGCCATCAGTGTTTAAGTTGTTGAAAAACAAAAAAGGGGTTTATAAAATGATTTGTAGTAAAAAGAAAAAGGCAGAAATTTTTCTTTGATAAATCATCAACAAATCGACAAAAAATTTCACATTTTTTCAGCATTATTCATGATCAAATCTGTTTTCAATGGGCAAAAAAAAAAATCAAAACAAATTATTTTTACAAGACGTTGACTAAATGTATGAAACCGTCTGTCCTTTCCTCATAAGATTGATCATTAATTCCAAAAAATTTGTGAAGGCGTTGTCTAGCTAATTTCCTGATTCCGAATGTCACATTTCTGACCATTCATAAGTTACTGATTTGAAGGTGGCACAGTTCTCCGAATTTTTTTTTTTACGACTTTGTATTTCTGCCTCGTTTTGTGTCTTAATTTGACAAGTGCTGGGAGACCTATGCATTTACCTGCATTTGTATTATGCAGATGAAGATGCATAAAATTTAATCTTGAGGGACTAATTTGCATTGTGTCAAGGCATTTTGCTTAGAGTACAGAGTTCTCTGTCAGTATGCTATATGTAGAAAAAAAGGACAGTTTGTATTAAATTTGATATATTCAGTTGATTTATGTATTTTGCTTGGGGAAAGCTGAGTGATATTTTTGTCAGCAGCAAGATTTCTCTTGCACCAGGAAATCAAAATCACTGATTTTCTACTGGGGTTTAATTTCTATGAAGAGACACATCAGTTCATCCACCTCATTAGGATCAACTTAGAGTGCATCATACATAAAAATAATGGAGGGTGCATATGCATTAATAATGGAGAAGAATAATGTCAAACATACCTATCAAAGTTAAAAACAATTTTTAGTGCACTTTGATGACCAGATCACCGTCACCCATATATTGGACATTAAACAACTACCCCACCACCACTACCAAAAATATCTTCAAGGTCTCTATTGCTGAAGCTTATTAAAAGTAGACCTTGAACATTTCAAATACAGAATGACAAAAGGTTAAAAAAAAATATTTATTTAAAGTCATTTTAAAAGTGTTTCAGATGTTCATGGATCCAAAATAGCTCTTCATTATTGGAGGCTGGAATAGCCCATATTATTTAATTTATAGGCCAAGCCACCTTAAATTTGGTAGTCTCTGTAGGTTAGTCATTTTCAAATTGTTTCAGCTGTTCATGGAACTAGTTCTTCATTATTAAAGGCTGAAATAGTCCATTGTTTAATTTATATGTCAAGCCACCTTAAATTTGGTAGTCTCTTTAGAATAAGAAGAACAGTCTAGATATGCTTTGTGCAGTAATAAATGTGATTTTGATTTTGTATTTTGCAGGGAATGATGGGAAACAACGTTCCAATGTCTCCTGACTCCCTCTCTCCTGGTGCAAAATCCCCGTACTTCTACAAGCAGCAGCAAGATATGTCTATAAAAGGTAACATTGGCAACTCCAAATTCCCTTTTCTCTCTCTCCCTCTCAAATCCTTCCTCTCTCCCCTCTCCCCTTTATCCCCCCTCTCTCTCTTTCTACATTTTCTCTCTTATAAACCCCTCTCTTCCCCCTCTCTTCTCTCTGTCCCCCCCCTTCTCTCTCTCTCTCTCTCTCTCTCCAGCATAACCATATTTAAGCAGATTACAACATTGATTTTATAGATCTCAAGTCCTCCCAGAAATCATTAGATTTTGTGATTTCCATTTGAAATGAATTAAAGTTCTATATCAAATTTTTGAGAAAAGAGAAGTCATAGAAATTTGTTCCACTGCAGTTAAACAATTAATATACTAATAAAGATGAAGCAGCTAGACTCAATTTGAAGAATAGTTTATGTGTAATATCCTGAAAATTGAAGCAGTTTTGATATTTTGACAGGTCGTCGTGGTAGTACTCATGGTGCTTCAGGTAAAAGGTCAAAGGTAAGTGGTTATGGTTCATTGAACATCTTTACAGGTCATTGACCAGGTCCCCTTGTGGATCTGTCATTAAAGAGAGAATTGGAGTTTCCAGGACACAATATGAACTGAGTTGTACAGCTCAAAAATCTTGCAAGCTTTTCATTTTTTTTTTTTTTTTCCATAAATGTGGAAGATGTATTATTTTATGAAGTGAATGAAAATGGAAAAGAGATTTTCCAAGGACAATGTCTTAATTGTCAGAGGATTTTCAGCTGCTTAATTACTGACCTACTTCCCAATGTGTCAGAAATCCCAAAGCCATGCACCCTAGCAAGAAGAAAAAAAAGGAGTAGGTCTTTGAGTTCATTTAAATTCAGTTAATTTAAAATATTTCCAAAACTCATCGAGACAATTTGACCCGATTCCTTAAAGTTTCTGATTTTAGAATGGAAACATTTTTTTGTTCTCTGGGCTGAGCATGTTAAGAGTTTGTAAAACCTTCAGTGTTGTTATGTCTGTGTAAGTGTAGGATTACACAGTGGCCCTTTAGGTCGGTATATTGTCGCTCAGTGAAGCGGATCTCTTTTCTTTGGTTTACCTGAAATCGCACGAACACCTGTTGCCATTGTAGAATAGATCGAGAGATCCCAAGATCCTGTATCGACTCTCGGTCACAGATGGCATGTTTGTCAAAACGGTGAAAAAAAATATACACACGACGCTCCTGTATTGGAGGATAGAGGTTTTATTGACTGGCTTGGGATGGGTTGTGGGGGGATTAGTGGTCTTTTATGTGTGCATGCAGATTTTTAATTGGGGGAGAAAATGGAGTGAAGTTAATTATTAATTGACAGTTAAGGAAATTATCTCTTTTTTTTTGCCTTTAGAGAGTGTGGTCACAGTTGTTGAGATGTAATAAAAAAAAAAAATGGAGGGATTTGACAATTTCTTTGCAATAACTATGAGCAAAAATTCACTCAGACTCTTAGTTTCCCTAATTCACATCATTGACAGAACATTAAGTTGAAATGTTAAATTTAAGTTGATAAATTTTTTGTGACCAAATAGAAAAAGAAGAAAGCTTCAAAAAGGTACTAAAATTTGAAAGGCTGTTGACTTTTGTGCCATTGTTAGTACTGGCCAAAGGTAGATAACTCTATGATAATAATGTGGTTAATAAGCGTAGGAGTCTAATCAAAGCTAAGGAACTATGTAATTAACATATAAGTTTTTTTCTGTTAAAGATGTATTGTTTTGATAAGTTTGGTGGCATTAAGAATTGTTGATAATGAGTTAGTCATCTCATTCCAGCAGTTGTAATAGGTTTTTTGTGGTCGTGTGACGAATGGTTTGTGAATCAGGGGCAAAGTTAACAGACTCGTAATAATTTGTTTCAGACAGACGAATTATGCATAATGTTTGATCACAAGAAAGAGGGGAAAGAGACTGATTGATTGGAACAGGAATTTAAACATAAAAAAATTTGATCTCAGCTTTGTTAAATTTTTTTCTTTAAAGATATTTGAAAAAAAATTAAAATTGTAGAAGAAATGATCAAATGTAATGGTTGATTGCAAGCAAGGAAAAAAAAACTTGATTGATTGAAGAAAAAAATTCAACTATAAAAATTTGAACTTTTGTATTTATATTTTTTTTCTCTAAATGTAATTTGGAGAAATTAAAATATAAAAGAAATGAATCTGCTGATTACCAAATTAAGAATTTTTAAAAATAGACTCATAAAAATATAAAATGTTAAATGAAAAGTTTGCACTGACAAATGATTTAGCTCTTTTGTGCTGTAAATGTCCAAGTTCCTTAAGGTTTTTTCATTGTTAATGAGGTAATTATGAGGTTTTTTTTATGCAGGATAAGTGCACAATGGTGATTACCGTGATGATTAGGAGGTTGTTAGGTTCTTTGATGTTAAGGTAAACACACCTGGTTTTACGGCATGGTCGAAAATATATATATAGATAAGTAAACTTGAACAGGTGGGATTTGAAGTGCTAACTTGATGACTTTTTAATTAGTCTAAAAAAAGTGTTCAGACTTATGTAAACTTTCTGATATTTATTGAATATCTTTAAGTAAGCCTTTCCTGTAGAAGTAATAATTGCAATAAAAAGAAAAAAAAATGGATTAAACAAAAAAAAAAGTTTCGCCAGCAAAATAATGAGGTCAAGAAGGAAGCTGGCTCTCACAGATGTGGAGAGTGAGAGAGAAAAAGAAGAGAAAGAGAAAAAAAAAAGTTGGCAGAAGCCGAGATAAAAAGTGCAAAAACTCCATGCTCGGCTGCTAATAGCTACCAGATGTAGGAAATCTGGCTGACGTGGGTTTCACAAGTCTCGTGTATTTACCTTGCGGTAAATCAAGAGCCGAGGTTTTATACACAGGAAGTCCGCATACAAACAAGGGGGATAAAAACGACACTGGGAGAAGATCGGGACGACTGCCTCTGACGTTTTTTGGGCCGAGTGATGGGTTCAAGATGTTTGGGGAGGGTTTTTTTGTATGATGTTCAAAAGCGTTAGGCCAATGTCACTCTGGCTTTTGGAGTTATTTTTGAGAGGGTTGAGAATATATTTACCTCCTAACACTAGAGAGTTATAAAAAAAAAAAAGAATGCATTTATGTATTGAACATTGAAAGAATGGACAGGAAAGATGTTGAGGTCAAATATGTAATTGAAAAACAAAAATGATGTAAATGGATAGATAAATCTTAAGTTGGGAATGGAGAGAGACCATGCTATTTTAATTTTTGGGGTACTTAAAAGTTTTACACTAAATACCCCCTTGTCATTGAAATTTGAAACCAACATAGTTAAATTTTCTAGGTCATGATATATAGCATATATATTTTAAAAAGCATGTTATGCTGTAGTAACATTGAGTATTAAGATCAAAGGAGATAAAAAGTCTATTAAAGATTCAATTTCAGAAGAAACAGCTGAAATGAATACACCATCGTGTGTGTTAAAGAGAATTGTGTGTTGTAAAGAGATCTAAAATGGCCTGAAATATAGCATAGGTATTCCCTTTGTAGTAAAAAGACATGCTTTCTGAAGCTGTAATGTATAGGATTAAAGTTTTTGGAATCGGAGAAGAGGGGGGATTAAGGTCGTGTGTGTATGTTACCTGGATTTGTACCTGTATATACCTGGCAGGTAACGGACTTTTACGGAGCGCGCTCACACCTGGGGGAGGTCTAGAGGGTGTTATGTCACGCAGTTAAACGAGGGCTGCTGCGTGTTGGGGGGTTTTGTTATGTCTGAGCAACGGTAGCTGCATTGCTAGCATGCTTTTCCCTCAAAAGACGTCTGTGCTTGGGTATTTAAAAAATTATGTCTTGAAGTTGTGTGTGTTCATTCTTCTTTCAAATAAAATAAAAAACATGAAAGTATAAGTGATTTATGCTTCATTCCAACTTTGATTTAGACAACTCGGAGGGTGAAATAAAAGATGAAAATGGTTATAAATGTCAATCCAAATTATTTTTGTTGAAGGGTTTTTTTTTGAGGGGCTTTGAAGTTTTTTGTAAGTGGTTTTGCCAAGGAATGGAGGTTAATTAATGGGAAAATATAGATGATAATTATTTGTTGAATTGTTTGGGGAATTTTTTTTATAAGGGAGCACATTTGTACAGATTCAAGTAGATTACTATACTATAAGGTAAATTAACGGGGCATTGTAGATGCTGATTTTGTTTTATTGTTAAGAAAAGTTTTTTTGCATTTGTTCATTACTATACTATAAGGTGAATTAATGGTGAATTGTAGATGATGATTATTTGTTTTATTGTTAAGGGAAGTTTTTATTATTAGGGAGCATATTTGTACAGATCGGAGTAGATAACTATACAAGTTGTAATGATTTGATGAAGTTCATCTGTGCAGTAGGAGCATTTGATGAGACACAGCCATCTTATGCAGCTGTTGTCTGTAGCCCCATCTGGTCTGTTGTCTGGCGGCTGATCCAGGAACAGTAACTCTTACATCACCACACTAAACAGGTGTACAATATTAGTGTGAGAGTGTTTATGAATGGAGAAGTGGGGGCTGTGAATTTTTTTTTCACAACTGAAAAATGATAAGGGAAAAAAGAATTTGTGAAGAAAAATCTTAATATGAGATGTTTTTATCTTCCAAGTATTAATTTGTCAAGTATATTAATAATTTGTTGGTTTGGATGCAATGCGTAAAAAAATATTGATAAGAAATTTATCTCATTGATAACGAGAAGGAGATAATAGAAGAAGCAAGGAGGATGGCATAGACGGAGGAAAAAAAATCTCAAGTGCCGTTTTCAAAAATAAAATAGAGGGAGAAAAAAAATCAGGAATCTACAGGAAAAGATATGATGTTTTTGTCAGTTTACGCAGGGAACATCTGGAACTCATCAGAAGGTGCAGTATACCTCCATCAGGGCGAGGGTCATATCCTGTTACTGAAGCTGGGCCAGTCCATTCTGAAGAGGAGGGGGTGTAGGATTAGTGGATTATCCTGATCCTCCCCTGTATTTTTGAAAAGTTTACACCTTTCTTATACTTAAGAATTACTTTATTTTAAACAGAAATTTTCTGTAGTTTTGAAAGAGGAAAAAAATTGATTTGAAATTTGAGTTTGATGTTTTTAGCTGTTTGTGCGCTTTTCTGTGAGTTTGTGAGCGTAGCTTCGCTAGTCAGTGGAGATAGAAAAAGTGGGACACATACACACACATAACACTCCCAAGCACACAACTTCAGCAGCAGACTCTGTGTATTGGCAAGGAGCAAGGTGTTGGAATTAAGAGAGAAGAGAGAGAGTCATCTGTTCTACTGTGGGCCAGGTTCTTTTTTTTTTGCCGGGAAATCTGTTTCTCTGTTATTTTTGGCAAGGAACACTCATCTTCTTACTGATTTACATTGAACATCTGATTCAAATGAAAGCTTGAAAGGGAGTCTGTGATTAAGTTTGACAGAAACAGGTGAAAATTCTTCACTTCCGTGTTGCCGATATAAATATAAAATTTTTGTTTTTT